GAAAATTGGATTTTATTTGGCTTAATTTTCTTTTTTGATTTTTTTTTTTTTTCATGTATTTGGAAATAAAATTATTTTTTTTTTTTTTTTTTTTGGCAGCAGGAGCATTTAAATATTCATTCTGCTCCTACGACAAACGGACACTTGAGGAAAAGACAATACCATTCCTGTGGACATAGCTAATTCACCCAATTGCTTCCATTTAGACTCGCTTTGTGCTACTGTCGCAATTTCCTGTAGACAAGTAAAGCCAATTGTTTACTTATAAACAGCCCATTTTATGCCAAACCACAACACTGAAAACAAAGAAAGAGAACCAAAAATCTGATTCTTCACTCAGAAAACAAATAGCACGTGCCAAGGAAATGTTTGCTTCTAATCACATCCCAACAAATAAGTCGGCAAACGTTTACCTTCGCAATCTCTAGTTTACCCAGTTGTATGGCTAGCTCAAATCTGTAATCAGGTTCTGTAGCAACTTCTAATGCTTCTTCTATCATTCCCCGAGATTCCAAGAAACGAGCCACACTGACAACATAATCAACTTATTTTATATTCAAACTAAGTAATTTATAGAATTTGTCTTCAAATTAGAGAAGAAAAAAGATAAAAATAGAAGAGGTGAGAAAAACAAAATTTCAAGCATTTTTGTATTGGATATTAATCCTCCACACACCCAAACTCACGATTATTTCTGTCAACTTTGGTTGGTGGTTTGAGAGCTGGTTGCAATATATTAATCAGACAAAATTGCAGGGAGGAAGGAGCAGAATAAACATGATATATATTTCATCCACATCAGGGTAGTCACTGATAAAAACTGGAACTACAGGTCAATAATTTGGTTTAACAATAATAGGATAAGTCCAACTAGCCTTCATTAAAGAAATATACATGCACAGAGCACATACAGCAAGCAAATAGGGCCATCAAGATGTCATCCTCTAAAAAAGTTAAATTAATTGCCAATTAAAAATTGATTTCAATTTCTAAACCAAAAGATATGCATTGACAGTTGTAAAGAAACTTTTTTCCTACAGTCATTACATGGGTTGTAACAAACCTATTCTTCTGCTCCTTTGGAATTGATGGTAAGATCTCATTTGCCCTCTCGAGATCACCACGCATCACGAGAGTCTTGTACTCAATCAAGCTCAGCAGCAGAGTATATCCCACGACACTGAAATGAAAAAGAATCAAGGAAGCTTGTAAACAGTGATAAACATAACACGGGTCATTTCCAATATTGAAAGATCTGATCAAATCAATCATTGATCCTCAGCTTCCAGGCTCACTCACTTGAATTCTTTGTCAATGAGATATACCCGACTCTGATTGGCAAGATACCCTAGCAGATACATGGGCCGATCAAAATGGAACATTGTTGTTACCTAGAAATCACAAGAAATCTCATTTTCTTCCTAATCCTGTATATGATAAAATTTGAGAACATGATTATATACATTAAAGTACACATAGCAAACCATACCTCACCCCCTACACAGTAATTAAGCTTCCATGAAGAGTTGTTGTAAATGAAGCAATCACCGACCCAAATTCCAGTCTTGACTCGTTCGTTTATTTCGTAAAGGAGCTCAAAAGAATCTTCCACACCTTGTTCATCTACTGACCTCCCACTATCCATATGAGCAGAAACTACATCTCGCTGCAGTATGGAAAAGCCCAATATAATCCAAACCATAATGATACAAGGAATGTATAGTTAACTTACAGTTTCATGTGAAACTAAGATAGATAAAATCCTTACATTGAACTTAAGTACATAGAATGACGTATCACTGGCAATGGTAACCAAATCACCGCTATCAGCCCAATAAAGATTCTGGAAAATGAGGAAAGACCAAAAAAGGAAATAAATAAATCGCAGCTGATTCATTGCCTGTATGGCTATAATAGCAACATGTGCGTAAAATAGCAAAAGCAATAAAAATTCTTACTTTAACATTAACATCAATCCGCCGAATCAACCTGCATTCAGCCCAATCGTAAAAACAAATAAAATTATTGGAGCATATTGCCAACAAAGTCCCCCCATATATGCGCTCAGCGGAAAATGTAGGCCGGATACTTTTCTTCTCCTGAAAGAAATAGTCTTTGTTGCCCCTTATCCCAGTAGATAAATGAGGAAAAGTTTTCAAAAACTTTGTTTTAACTGAAATTACACGGGAAATGATACCACTAGATTCATTTTTAGATAATTAAGGAGAAGAAGAAAATTATAAACCTGAAAATTTTTACTGAAGATCTTAATCCTCGATGTACTTTCTCTAATAGCATATTCTCCATCAGATGACCAAACAAATTCCAATGCTGAACCAAATGACCTATTTCTCCATGCCAAAGCTGTGTATATAATATGTTCACCATCTCCACACACAACTACGAACCTACCATTGGGATTGTGCTTCAAGCTCTGTGAAAGAAAAAGAAAACACAGTGAATATGCTGCCAAAATAGATTAATATACAAGCACTACGGTTGAGCTGAATGTAATCTTTAAAATAATGATGTCACCAAGATGATAAAAACCAACAGTTACTTCCCCAAGTACCATGTTTGCCTAAGTTCTTTGACATAAAACCAAATAAAAGTTTCCTCTAACAATGAGAATATGTCAAGTGTCACAACCAATGACCTCTAGCTTATGTATGGGAATTGAAAGTCTATGGAACAAAGTATAGATGTCCAGGAAGTTGCAAAATATCCTATAGCTAAATTATTTTTCCAAGAAATTGTCTGCCTGCATGGGTTGCCTTCCACCATTGTTTCTAATAGAGACATCAAGTTTGTCAGCTATTTTTGGGAAACCTTTTAAAAAATGTTTAGTACCACACTCAAATATTCATGTACTTTACACCCCCAAACAGATGCTCAATAGAGGTTGTTAACCATTGTTTAAGTAATTTGTTTGGATGTTTAGTTGGGTAGAAATTGGATAATAGGAATCATGTCTTACCTTAAGCTGAGTTCACATATAACTTGTATTAATGGGTCCACAAATAAAATAAGAGCCTTTTCGAGATTAACAATGGTTTCTCTCCTTGCCTATCAATTGACCTTATAACTTGGCCTACTAATTTTATGCCTGATACTTCAGCACATTACAACATATGCCTTTGGAGATCATATTCTAGAATTCCACGATGAATAAGAAGATTTTTTCTTAAAATAATGAAGTGCATTTTTGGCAAAGCTTCAATTATAAATAAAGTTGGTCAAACATAATTTTTATGTAGACATTCTATGTACTCACACGTTATGTGATCCACTTAAAATATTAATTTAAATACTCCAAAACAAGCATAAAAGTTAAAGCTTGCGACTGATTCGCATTGTAGGAATAGAGAATTTTAGGCCAGTGATTATTCGGTTCTTTGTATAATTCCACATCATTTTTTCCTGGACATGCTGAAAACTTAATGCTCACTCCATGGGCTCCTTTTGAGACACACAAAAACTCAAAACTAATGCACATCAACTAGACTTTCCACCACATTTAATTATTAGTCAAGTTTTCAATATAGCAAATTTATATCCCTATCGAGGCACTTTCGAGCCTCCAGTTTTGCCTTCATCTATTTCTACATGTTAAATGGTTCATACGGTGCCAAGAGCTCATACTGTGACACCAATAAAAAAAAGATGTCATTGTTGAGGTTATTGATGATCACATTGTTGCTTCTAAAGATGGTTGCCGACATAAACTTCTGGTTAGGTGGCAAAATTGACCTCTTACTGAGTATACAAGGATCACAGAAGAAGAGTTTCGAGTTCTCAATTCATCCTTGCTAGACAACTACTTGGGATTTAACTCGCCGAAGTTGATTTCTTTCCGCTCGGAGAGAAATGATGGATAGCAACTAAAATTCTACTCCGGCCAAAGATTAAAAGATAAAGTAGACTTAATCTACATTTCAGTAGTTTTATTGGTTAGGATCTTGTTATTTATTTATTGTTTTTAGAAGTTCCCTTAGATTTAAAGACCGTGCTTTGTAAAAGGGACTAGGATTTTCATTTTCGTTACAACATTATTTTTATTTACTCAAGATTACAAATTTTCCAGCTAAATTCTTCTTTTTTCTCAATTTTTCTCTTTCTTCTCTCCTCGTTTTCTTGAATTACATCCTATTTTACTAATACACATCATGTTTTGAAGAGTTCTCTCTTTTACAGTATGAAATATACAGAAAACAAGGAAATTCATAACATATTGGACGATTCTAGCAAAAACTTGAGCAAAGAACAAAGATTGTAATTGCATCCAAAAAGTAATCATGTTCACAAATCTAACAAATAAAGCTGTTCAATCAAGAGAACTAGTGAAAAATTGCTTGAATACAATTACAATGCAACAAAAGTCTACATGATGGTATACGTTGTTAATGAAAAAATTTCTTAATTAATAGAATACATATAAAAGAAACTCACTTGTGGATAAAGATCACAAGTGCCCAATTCTTTAACAGCCAAAGGCAGTCTTTCTCCATCAGCAACCTGAGGGAAAAAGTAAACAGTAATTTAGATTTCCAAAAAGAGCAGCGGTTAATGCTGTTCATAAACTTAGTTAAGCAAAGCAGGAAGAATATCAAATCCACACCTCATAATCTGCTCCAACACTCTTAATGTTAACAGTCTGAATTTCATTATGCTTAGCCCATATAACTTTTCCACCGTTATCCATACTAGCAACAGGTACCTCTCGACCGATTTTCACCATGATGGTCCCTTCATCATAACCAATTACAACCCTGTGCAGTAAATGTAACACATTGAATTCAGCTGCCTGATAAAACAGAATACCCAGGCAAGGCAATCTAACATTAAATTTTTTTGCTCGGCATCTCAAATTTTCCCAGTATTTTCAACCTCTATCCAGCAAGATCTAATATATTTATTCAGCTAAAACCTTTCTCTAACCAGTCAACAACCTCACAAACATAGAGACATGACAATTTCTGTTCAACAGTCTTTGCCTTCTCAACAGAATCCGAACAATTTAGAACTTCTGCACTAATAAAACATGATTCCAAAAAGCAACAACTGCCACCCTAATACGTAAACTTAGAACGCATTACAGATAAGTCACAAGCACCAGAGTCCCAGACTAATGAACGGAAAATAAATTTACCGTCTTGAGCCTTTAATGCAACCAATAGCCCAAACTCTTTCGAGACCATAATTCAACGTATTTTCAAGTCTGCAAGACAATGCAACTAAATGAGAGCCCTTATGAACAGATGACAAGTAGAAACTAATTATCACTGTATCAAGAATAATTACATAGATGAGAATAAAATAGTTAAAGAAATATGAAAGTAAAGGTAAATACAGATACATAAAGTCAAATCATTATATCTTGGAAAAAAACTGACGAGTACAGAAAGGAAAATGAACTGGGTAAACATGGTAAATGTTCAGCTACTTCTCATTATTCTTTAAGTGAAAAATTTAAATAAAGTGCCACATGGGAAAAGCAATTTTTCTGAGGACACTTCATGTAAGATAAAACAACTATAGCAAGGTCACTATACTCTTGGTAGTGAGCAATCTAGTAACAAAACATTACCTATAAGTGGTAGCATGCCATATACGAACTGTACCATCCTCAGAACCTGTAATTATGATGGGAAGTTCTGGATGGAAACATGCAGCAGAAACATTGTGTGTATGACCTTCTAATGTCTGGACACAACTTTTTGTTTGATAATCCCACACCTAGTCACAGGAGCTAGAAATTGCCTTAAAATTTAATGAACAGAAACTTAATCAAGAGGACAAAAGGGGGAAAATTCACAAACCTTAGCAGTTTGATCATCAGAACCAGTAATTAAGTATGGTTTATCGCCACCTGTGAAATAATCTACACAATTTACCCCTTTAAGATGGGCATCCAATGTGAAGTTTGGGTCAGGGGAGCCAAGGTTCCATATCTACAAGAGCAAACATAGCAGGCCCTTAGCAATACACATCCGATAGATAAATACTACAACATGCTAAGCCTTATTCCAAATAATGGTCAGCTACATGAGCAAAAAGTATACAAATACCATTATTAAACATTTACTAGTAAACCACACTGGTACCTTAACAGTGCGATCTAGAGATGCACTAGCAAATGTGTTGGTGTCTTTTGGATTAAATGTCACTTGCATCACGTAATGGGAATGACCCTCGAATATTTGAGTGCACGCCCACCCCTTTTCCCAATCCCACAGCTTTATAAGCATGTCATCAGATGATGACAGTACATATGGAAGAGTAGGATGAACTGCCACACACCTAATATAATCTGTATGGGCTTCAAACACAGTGACCTTATCCATTGTATTGTAATTGTATACACGAATAAACATGTCATCAGCACCGGCAACAACCCACTGCTTACGAGCTATGAACTTGGCCGACCTCACTGCGAGAGGATATTGTTGGCATATTAATCAATCACATTTCTCATCAAAATGAGAAATTCCAGTGAAATACTTATTTACAACCCAAACAATAAAATAAATCTTAATCATGAACCTGGTAGTTCAGTGACTTCGAAAGATGTAACCGCTGTCTGCAGAAAGATAAATGAAATCTGGATTAGCATTTAGGAACTGCAAAGTCAACAAAGACAGTAGTTGATGGAGTAGGACACAACCATTACAACTCAATTATCGAAAAACAATATATATCCTATACACATCGATAAGGTCATTCCCATAAGTATACTAAAAGCTGTAGGTGTCTCCCATCCAAAGTGGGAAACAAGAAATGTTGCTTCTGATTAATACATGGATTCTAATGAAGCACATAAACGAAGATAAATGAATTAAGGCTCAGATGAGACATATAGAGATTGTTTAGGTATACTGGTACGGTATAGCTATTAAATGCATATAAGTAAATATGCACATGCATGCTACAACTTGAAAAATAAGTATAAGTCTCAAATGAAATATAGATTAGATGTCTTCATAAATAGTAAAAGACCTCAAATCCTTGTCATCAAGGAAACCCCAATTCTCAAGTAAAGTCAATATATGAAAAACCAAATAATAACAGTGGTACAATCTCACTGTTGTGTTCTCCTTGAATAACATGAATTTGAAAATTAGTTTTGAAGTGTAGTAGTTTATTGATGATAAGGAAAAGGGATATATATTCTCAGTTGCAGGCTTTCAAGCCACACCTCGATAAGAATTATCAAGTCTTCACAAACTGATTATATTTTCTCCTAACAGCCACATGTCAAGGGAATCAACCTAATTGACACTTCAAATTGCTTTCTGATTTTATAATTTTCCTTGGGGTATAAAGATATTACAGTAAACCACCATTTCAGAAAAGACATCTAAAAATACTGCAAGTCAGTTTACAGTTTCTAGAGATAGGAATTAGCCACACTATCTTCACTTGAAAAATAATTTACACTTAACATTTCAAATAACTTACCACTTATTAACTTATTACAGATAAAATTACATGACGACATCCATGGAAGATTCATCAACTAATTATGCCTTAACAATTATAATGCAGTTCAATTATAAACAACTCAAGATTAGCTGCAGACTCCGTACCTGGGTCTGGTAGTTCCATATGTCAACAGTTCCCGAATACAAACTTGCCAATATCCTGTTAAAGCAAACATAGCATCTTATGATTACAAAAAAATCAGAATTTTTGACCCCAAGAAGTACTCAAAAGCAGTCATTTCTCTCATATTCAAGCAAATACACTGGGCCCCAACAAAAATGTAGAGAAAGGGAAAAACATATCAGACAAATGGTTTTCTACTTGGATTGAAAAATATAAATAGAAATGTAGACCTTGCTTAGATGAAGTATGTCAAATTATATATTAATGCTGAAGATAAACACTAATTAAACTCGAAGGACATCAAATTTGAAGATGTTAATTACTAAAATCGAGCCATAAAATGTAAGTAAAATCAAGGAAAACAATAATACGACTACATTTACAAACAAATAGTTTTTCTTAAACTTTGCTTAGATAGAGTTCGTCAAAATATCTACTAATGCTGAAAATAAACACTAATTAAACTCAAAGGACATCAAATTTGCAGATGTTCATTACTAAAACTGAGCCATTGTAAAATGCAAGTAAAATCAGGGAAAACAATAATACAACTACATTAACAAAGAAATGGTTTTTCCTTTAATCGTCATTAATTCAATGCCGCACAAGATTGAATATGAAATTCCCCGGAGACAAAACATAGAAAAACTTTTATATCAAATGCCAGACATATGAGACTAGCGAATGAGGAAATTTTGAGTAATTGATGAAGAAAAAATATTACCATGGCTCCGACGGATGCAGATCAACGGATTTTACCCTTTCTGATCTTTTAGAAAGTTTTCTCTGATCCAATAATTCATGGTCAGCATTCAATAATTCACAGTTTCACACGGAAAATCAAAATCAGAAATTCACAACAATCCAAAGTTTAATAACTTCAGTACCTTGATTTCCAATCTGAGAGGCTGCACGGCACCCATCCCGCCATTAACAAATAAACATAACACAAATCAATCCAGTATGTAAATCAGAAGTAGCTCAAATCCGCACCAAATTACAAATCTAATATCGAAAATTACAATAGAATAAATTGACTCCTATTTTCACAGAAATTGAGGACAAAGTTATCAAGCATGATCAATCTAAATTCGAATCAGATTTCAACCAGATCAAGGAAACACGAAACGCAAAACTAACTAAAAAAATGATAGAATGAAAAAAAAAAAAACTCACCATTTTCTCCAGACGATTTGTATAAATTCACTAGGATTTATGATTCAGAACCCTAGAGATCCAAATGCTTAACTCAGTCACAAACCGAGATCAATAGGGTGTGTGAATATATATATGTGCGTGTATATGCTACGTTTGGGTAGGAAAATGGTCTCTGTTCTTAGTTACTAACAAACTATGAGGGCGTGTTTGCCTAGGCAAAAAGTTCTTACTTACTTGTAAGTTGTCAGAAGTTATATTTTTCGTATTTATAATAATTTACTCATAATTTTGATAAATAAGAAATATTTATGTGAAAATATTGATTTTTATCTATAAGTAAATTATTTATGAGTAATTCTTGTTAATGTAGCAAACTACGACTTATATGTAAGAGTATCATTGATCAAATGCTTCAACACTTGATTATTGTACTTTTTGATTATATATAAGTAATTATCGTACAACAACTTGGTTAATGAGTACTTTTATTTTTTATTTCAGTATTTCATACTGGAAGTGCTTCGGATATTTTAATGATGATGTGGGAGAGACGATCAATTCGAGCTCATTTTTACTCATTTGAGTCTTAGTGTAAACCTCATACCATTTTACTCGTTTAAAATATTTTGTTTCTTTTAACGTCAAGACCGATTTATTTTTCCTTTTATAATCATAAAATCTAGATTGAAGGGCCACGATTCTCGCCAACCAACCTATTGACTCAGCAAAAAACCTCATTCTTTTGGGAGGCAAAAGAATTTGAGAAGTTTCATTCCTAGCTAATCGGTATGGAAAGAATTGCTTATATTTTTGTCTTGTCAGAGTTTTCATTTAATCATTTAACGGTTAAAGGGGTCGAATTTTTTATAAATCATCCGTTATACTTAGGCAAGTCGTTTGGCCCCCATTTTGGAAAAATGAAAATGGATGGAATAGTATTTTTTTTGAAAAATGAGTGATTGAAAAGGGAGGACAAATTTTCGATTTATGTGTAATATTATTTTATGGAAGATTATGTGATTGAAAATAAGAAAGAGAAAAATAAAATATAATGGAATGAAAATTAATATTGGCCAAACGGGGGTAATTGCATTTCGATATTTTTCTTCAAGAAATAATAAAACGAGGTGCAGATGACAATGTTCATTCCATTTATGACACGAGCACAAGAAATGATTATGAGACAACACCTTTTCTTCAAGGTTGTCTTGTGTTGAATGATAAAGGATCTACAAGCACACATTCATTCATGACAAATTCAATTTTCGTAATGACTGCAAAGCATGAAAATACCAAAATTATTTTGGATTTCAGCAGCTTCCACATTAGCATCAGTTATTTTGTCAACAATTCTAATCATCTGCCTTAAATCCAAAGTTCGCAATATTAAAATTGTAAGATATGATCATCAACTAAGTAATGTTGGCCGAGTGGTACTTCATTGGTTATTCGATAAACAACTAAGAGACCAAAAACTGCAAATTGGCATAGAGTTAGTGGTTCACAATTAACGTGAGAGTTTGATGTGAACCCACGTAACAACTGAAGTTATGAAACTCATACGAGATTGAATCGAACCCAAGAAAATCAAATAAATCAAAGTTTTGGATTTGACCTAAAAATAATGAATCAAGCAACCAACCAATCGCTTACGATGTATTGACCCTCGAGCACAAGATTTGTGAATCTCACCTGATTGGTTGAATGCCACAAGAATTAATATTGATAAGTTTAGTATATTGTTAAGTGAAGAATAAAGGAATAGAAAGCAAATTGCCTCTAATTAATCTCTCAATAATGTCTAAGTTCTCTACAATGTATGGAATGAATTCTATTTGTACTAAACCCTAAAAACCTAGTTAAAAACTAAAAGAATCCTAAAAAATTACAAAGATACAAAAAAAATAGTGTTTTAACATAATCAGGAAACTTTCGCGGAAAAGGAAAAATTCAGTCCAAAATTTGTGCTATGCAACCACATAGCACTTTTCTATGCGGTCGCGTAGTTCAACATAATGCCACCGTTTGAGTTTCTACCTCCTATAATGCGACCGCATGATAGAATAAATTATGTGGTCGCATAGTTGTGAATCTCAGCCCCTTCGTCTTTTGATCGAATTATGTTGACCCAATGAGTTTCCGCTCCCGAGCCCAACACGACACTTGCTCATTTATTTGCCAAGATTGATGTCTCGTCCATTGCAACTTGCACAAATAGTCCCACAACCTCTTTGGCCCTCTTTACTCGTGATCGAGTCATTGGACCTTCTTCAACGATCAATGGATCCTTGCCTGAGCTTGTGTTCATTGCATTCATTCATCGGATCACATCAGAACTATACCCATTTGTTACTATAGGTTTTTTACTGTAATGAAAAAGTTGATAACAACATTTTTTGACTCAGGAAACTCGAGCGACCTCATATAGAAGTATGAATACCCAACATTTAGTCAACCATATTCATGTGTAGAAATGGATTGCAACAAGAATGACATTTATGCTTTGAATAACTACCAAGTATATGGTATTAGCACACCACAACTCAGCAAGATGGGAGTCTAACATAAATGGAAACTCTAGTCATGCAATCCAAGAATATTCCAATCATGTAATCCAAGAATATCGATCAAGATCAAGAAAATCAACCAGCTCTAGAATATCAGTTCAAGATCAAGTAAATCAATTATGGTAAAATGCATAGAAGCCTGCTTTAGAAACAAATCAATCAAGGACTGAAGAGGATATCAACATAATGATTTTCCACTAATTTTATGGAAAACTGTTGGTTGTCTTTGTGTTTAAATATACAGTCTTGTATTGTCTTGTACTCACATTCCCAATACAAAAAAATATACAGCTTCTTTTATCTTTTTCGTTCTTTTCATATTTTTCTCTTAGTATCAGAGCGAACGGGAGTACCCGGCTTAGCACAACATAGCTCCTCCTAGACCATGACTTCTCTGTCTCTAAATGTAGGCAACTTCATTACAATGAGGCTTACTCCAACCAATTATTCTCTATGGCATGAGCAAGCTTTAGTCCTTACAGAAAGCCAAGAGCTAGTTGGTCATCTCACCAATGAAGAGCCTATCCCTACCAAAAACACCATACCTAATCCAAACAACACCACATATACAGAAACTTTTGTTCCAAAATTAACAAAAGAATTCATCGCGTGGCAAAACTCCAATCATCTCCTTCATAAGTGGATCATCGGAACACATCCTGAAGAAATTCTCGGACTCGCTATTGGCCTAGACACAGCCCATGCACTATGCGAAGTTCTCAAAAATGCACACACATGACTTACAAGAACGTGAATTCACCTTACAATAGCAAGTGACATCTTCGCCAAAAGGACGATAAAACCATTGGAGATCATATTCACACCTTTAAAGGACTGTGTGACAATCTTGTTGCCATCAAAAAACTTGTTCCTAACCAAGAGAAAGTTTTCTGCCTTCTTACCAGCCTTGGCCCCCAATATGAAACCTTCACAATCACCATGCTGACGCCTCCAAAACTGACTTACACTGAGCTAATTATACAAATTCAAAAACTTGATCAGAGGCGCAATTGGTTCTCTAACCATGCAAATCCACCAAGTTCCCAACTTACTCCTCAACTGGCATTCTATGGGCAACAGTCTCAACAGCATTCGTCTGGCTATCGTGGCAACTCACAGAAATTTACATCCACTGGGCAAGGGTTCCAAGCATTACCACCCAGGGACCATAGCAAAAGCTACTCAAACAATCACACTTATTAAATTCAACAGCACCGTCTTCCACCGTCAGGACAACGTAGCATGAATCCTACTGAGAGAGATCTATACCGTGATGAACAATGTCAGTATTGTAGAAAATGGGTCACACTACCAAATTTTGCTGGTGAGTATCTAAGAAGCCTACTCAACATAATGAAATACTATAAGCACTTGCAGCACTCGGACTAGACAAAACCATCATAGAAATTGAATGGACCTAAAAAATGGAAGCTTCCAATCACATAACAGGTAAGCCAAGTATGTTAACCAACATTCGTAAATATTTTGGTACTAATTCTATTCTTATTGGAGATGGATCCTCTCTACCTATTATCGGTATTAGAATCTTGCATTAAACAGAAGAATATTACCTTAACTCTTCGTGACGTCCTTCTTTTTTCTTGACTTAACAAAAAATCTACTCCTTGTAAGTCAATTCACCGCCCAATTTCCTGTCAATTGTGAATTTTCTAATATTTATTTTTATGTTAAGGAACAGGAAACAGGACAACCAATAATAACAGGGAAGTGCAAGAGTGACCTCTATGTTCTTCCCACTTTACTAGAATTGTATTTCTCCCATCATTTTAAATTAGGTTCAACAGAAGTTTGGCACCAATGCTTAGGGCATCCTCGATTTTGGGCTTTACAATTATTGAAAATAAAGGGTTGATTGATGTCATAAGAACTATGAAATCTGAACAACTCCATGATAGTTGTCAATTAGGAAAGCTTAATAAACGACCTTTTTCTGGTTCTAAACATTCGAGTTCTAATATATTTGAAAAAAAATATATTATAATTTGTGGAGACCTACTCCAATTTTATCTATTGGTAAATCCAGATATTATGCACGTTTGGTAGATGACTTTTCTAAATATACTTGGATCATTCTATTACAACATAAATTTGATTTTTTTTTTTAATTTTTTTTACTGTTTACATCTTTTTTGAGCAATATGTTACCAAGCAATTTAATAAACAAATTAAAAATTTTCACTCCGATGGAGGAGGCAAGTTTATCAACTCGAAACTATCATATCATTTTCTTTTTACAGAAACCATTCATCAGGTATCTTACTCATAATCTTCAGAACAAATAGCTATGGTTGAAAGAAGCCATAGGATTATAGGAGAACTAGGTATGACTATGCGATTTCATACGGGTACCTCTATCTTTCTGTGGGTAGACACCTTCATTACAACTATCTACCTTATGAATCACCTGCCTTCATTTGTTTTTAATTTTGAGACCCTATATTTCACACTACATGGTACTTATCATGTTTACTCTTCACTTCGTATTTTTTGCTCTAAATGTTTTCCTTACACTTAGGACACACGATGCCACAAATTTGATCCTAAGACTGTTCCCTACATCTTTGTAGGCTATAGTGATAAACATAGAGGTTAGAAGTGTTTTCATCCCCCAAGCAAAAATTTTTTTATCTCGCGATATGTGATTTTCGATGAGTTAATTTTTCCATATAAAATATGTCATAAATCCAATATCATTCCCACCACATCATAGTCATTAGCAATTCTTATTCATGGTTACCGCATCCTGACTTCATTCTTCAAACAGTGGCTCCTTCAACATATACTCCTTTGGCTTCTGCGACATCTTCTCCGCCATGCCCGAGTTCTTTGCCACCAATAGCTCTCCAAGCTCTAGGGTATTATCAAATTGTGGAATAGACTACACTGAGGCCTTTCTCCTATCATCAAATCAAGAACCATTGGACTGATTATTACCATAGCTCTCGTTAAATATTGTCCCATTCGTCAACTTGATGTAGGAAATGCTTTCCTACATAGCTTTATTTCAGAAAATGTATATGCTACAACCTCTAGGAATGGCAGATCCCCAATACCCCACATATGTTTGCAAGCTTCAAAAGGTTCTCGATGGCCTCAAACAAGCACCATGCGCGTGGTTTGATCGATTTATTGCCTTTCTCCTTAAATATGGTTTCTTTTGCAGCTTGGCTGATCCAATCTTATTTATTATTCGTTCTAATTATGGCTCACTAATCTTGCTTCTTTATATAGATGATATATTGCTTTTAGTATCAACTATAGAGCTTGTTACAACCTTTACTCAATTGCTAAGTAGTGAATTTGCAATGAAGGACTTGGGACCAGTGCATCACTTCCTTAGCATCGAAATCTCCCAGACACACAATGGTCTTCACCTATCACAATTTCATTATGCCCTTATCATACTCGAACGCTCCAACATGGTAGATTGTAAGCCCATGAGTTCATTGCTTGAAGCAAAGACCAAAATCACTTCACATAACACCTCGTTGGAAGATCCAAGTTACTTTCGAGGCCTTGTTGGTACTTTACGTTACCTTACTCTCACACGCCCAGATATTTCATATAGTGTTAATTATGAATCTCAATTCATGCATTTCCCTACTATCATACGCTTGAAAATGGTCCAACGTATCCTACGATATGTTGAAGGACCTATTGACATAGATTTACACTTTACATAAATAAATAAAAAAAAATACTACACTTGATCTGTATGCTTTTTCAGATGCAGATTACCAATCACTCCACCACGGGCTATTGCACCTTCCTTGGAGGCAACATCATCTCCTAGTGTGCAAAGAAACAACATACAAACTCACTCTCTAGTATTGAGCCATGGCCAACGCTACAGCAGAACTCACATGTATGACTTTCATTTTAAAAGATCTTCGCATTTCAATGGGTTCTTCCCCAATTCTATACTATGACAAATTTAGTGCTCTTCATATGACCATTAATCTTTTGTTTCATGCCTGAAGCAAACATTTTGAGTTAGATTACCACTTTGTATGCGAACGAGTTGCACTTGGACTATTTATCACTCGACATATCTCCACTGCTAACCAGGTTGCAGACCTCTTCACTAAGCTAATGATAGACGTTGTCCTCAATCATTTTCGAACCAAAATCTGCTTCCAATCCTGACACAGTTTGCGGGAGGGTATTAGCACGCCACAGCTCAGTAAGATGAAAGTCTAATAGGAATGGAAACTCCAACCATGCAATCCAAGAATATTCTAGTCATGCAATCCAAGAATATCAGTCAAGATGAAGTAAATCAATCAGCTCCAAAATCAGTTAGAGATCAAGTAAATCAATTCTAGTAAATGCATAGAAGCCTACTTTAGAAAGGACTTGATTGAAGAGCATAATAACATATTGATTTCTACTGATTTAATGGAAATTTGTTGGCTATCTTTGTGTTTAAATACTACAGTCTTGTATTGCCTTGTACTCATGTTCCCATCAATATAGAAAATTATATAGCTTCTTTTATCTTTCTTGCTCTTTTCATATTTTCCTCTGATGGGAGCGATGAAATTATGGCAATAGATTTGATGATTTATGGCCGGCTCTTATTCTTCGTGTTATATCACGGCAGGTAACAACTACCTTTCATTTTTAACTTCTTTTTCTTCCCGACACCCTTCATATAAAATCAGCATTGGGATATTCATTCAGGGTTGCGCTGTGTGTACACAATGGTGTACACACAATCTTATACCCCCCTCACATGGAGGGGGCCCACATGTAATATAATATTCGTTGACCCCCCTCCATGTAAGGGGGGGTGTAAGGATGTGTGTACACCATAAGGTGTACACACAGCATTATCCATTCACTTGATTTATCTTGGCCAGTAGGCCTGGCACACAAATTGTAATGTCAAACGTAACAATGGCAATAGCTGTGCTCGCGACTTAGTTATTTCTCATGCCGCTATTCTATTACACTCCCAATCTCATTCTAATAGCGACTATCATTACTGCTGTGATTGGCCTAATCGATTATCAGATTGCAATTCAACTCTGGAAAGTCGACAAACTCGATTTCTTGGCTTGCACAAGTTCCTCTCTTGGTGTTCTCCTCATCTCATTGCCTCTGGGGCTTGCTATAGCGATAAGCATTACTTTGTACATGATAACGAATTTTTTAATACTATATATCTAGTATTGTCCAGTTTAGCATCCCAAATAACAAATGTTAGTCTAAGCTTAAAATAAGTACTTTCAAGTAACTTCGATTATAAGTTAAAAATATTACTTTTTTGAGAGAAACTCTTATGAAGGTTGGAAGGTTCTCTTGCTTGTTACAAGGCCAAATACAGTTGTTCCGGACAATAATCGTGGAACTCAAATATACCAAAACCTTAGCAGATACAAAGCAGTTCGCATCCCCTCGTTTTTTATACTATCTACAGAATCTCCTATCCATTTTGCAAATTCCACGTAAATACAAGAATGGTTAGTCGAGTTTCCGAAATAAAAGTTGCTTCACTTTCGTGATCTGAATATTTGCTTGATCCAAAGGTCATTTGTCACAGGATATTACGATGAATTAGGGACGAAGACTGGTTAGAATCCAATAAAAACAGTAACTTAATGTGTGTCATTTTGGATATGATAGGTTAGTCAAGAAAATTTGAATTTACGCTTTTGGAACCTCGACTATAGGCTGATAATGTTACTTCTTTCTTAATCAGCAGTGAAAACAATAGACGCAAGCGGTATTGACACAATATCCGAACTCAGAAAGACGACGGAAAAACGAGCACTTAAGGTAAGTCATCAGAAAATCGTGTTTCCAACGTTCAAAGAGTTTTTATGTAATATCTTGGCGTCCATTTGTGTAAATCAAAACACCATTTCTGTATAGCTCATGCTGGTAAACCATGCTGGAAGTGTAATGAAAAAGCTGCATCAATCCAATACTTTTGGATTGGAAGGGTTATATCTAATGGTTGGAGAAGACGTGGCAATATATCCTCTTCATTGAAACCTCATCATTAAGTCGTTACCACTGGACTACAGTACATATTTGTACAAGCAACATTTTAACTTATTTTTCTTCCTTAAAATTGTTTAGTGATTAGTACTATCGACTCCTTTTCCCAACATGTCATTGTCTGCGTTTTTAGAAACTTGCAAGGATGATCATCCTGTCATAGCATTTCAGTGTAGGTTGGAAGGAGATATTTTGTAAAAGTCGAAACTAAAGTTGTGAACAAGTTGCTTATTTTGAAAATAAAGTAAGGATTACTTTCACAATAAACTTTACAAAAAAGGTAAATTGCTCGAAAGAATCTCCTAACAAAAGAGTTGGAAAAAGATTACTTTCCCGAATGAAATTATAGAGATGCTCAAGTTCCAATTTCCTTAGTGTTATAAACATTCTCTATAAGTTTATGCTAAGTACATAATAGGATAAGAATACTCTGGAGTACTGTCTAATTTGCATTACCAAACAAGACATTCGTGAAGGAATTAAAGAATAGGTGATATTCACACAACTCTTCACCAGATTCCATTGGTAATGCTAAAAACACATCATACTATCCATCTTGACATTCAAAACTGCGCAACTAAGCACTATATTGAAAATATTTGACAAAATATTTAAGCAAATAACATAAATCTTTTTCATTACAACCTTCAATTGTATAGGGACAAATTCAAATCTTGAATTGGCTTGTGCATGGCGTTCCTCTCATATTTCAACAAATTTGACCTGTAACACGTTCCAGCGTGGAATACAAGTCTCTTACATGGGTTCCAAGATGTATTACGAAAAGAAGACCGAATCAGAATCTTATGCACTTCGTCCAAAGTTAACTAGTAAGTTTCACACTAGTCAAACACCTGCATGGATTCAAAAAATGTACTCAAAACTATCATGTTGATATGATGAATAAAATAGTCGAGACTACCAAATAATGCTGAATAATACCATTCAGCATTATTTATATTTAGGAAAATTGCATTTTTTTGGGTCCCCAACCTGTTGCCCAATTAGCATGTTGGTCTCTAACCCTTTATTATGGTTGCACAATTAGTTCGCAGTGAAACCATCTAAATCCAGGTTTATGATGTTCACACGTCATTCATAATAACACACCTCGCTTCAAAATTCTGGACACCTTATAAAGCCAAACAACAAAATCTAGCTTCATAAAGTTGGATATGTAAGGGCTATGTGATGATTAAAGTAGATTTGGATCATTTTCGGCAATGGGATTGATTGTGCAACTACAATGTAAGGTTAATGTTGAAGCAAAAGACTGAAGAACATAGTGCAATTTTTGCAGTTGTTTGTATCAAATATTGAGGCAGAAAAATTACACGCCTAAAATCTGTATACAATGAAATACCGATATTTATACCCACCAAAAAAATCACACCCACCCTTATATCAGTGCTCTACAAGGAAAATAAAACATTTTCCATAAAAGATGAGATAACATGCACGTTAGAGCTTCAAAGAGATTTTCAATCTTTTTGCCCATAATTTGGATTTCATTGGCATTAATATTATACAATAACGTTATTCAGCTTCCTGCTTCCTTCAGCAGTGAAGAAAACACTTGAGTTCTAATATCTTCTTATAAATAAAACGAATGCCACCTTATGATTAATTTCTTGGAATAGCAAAAAATTCTAGGATGAGCAATTCTAGTAACAACAGATGTTTTAACAGTACTGAGTTGAGATAAAATACGGAAAAACTCCTCAGATCACATAAATAAAGAACAATCTACTGCACCTAGCAGTACTGAGCACTACCAAAACTTGAATTGAATCTTTTGAATCTTAGTGATATAAGATGATAGTTATTCCAGAGTGATGTCAACCTATGTTTTAAAAACCAGCCCAAGCATTAACCCAGAAAATTTACAGGTCAAGGATCAAGAATGATGGTTGAAAATTTTAAATAAATAATTATTTAAAAGAAAAAACGTTGAAACCGGTGAACCAGCAAGTTTCGAGACTCCTTTCACAGGTTTTCAATTTTCAGTTTTTTTTAAATGGACCCAACCGATTCCAGACTGGTCAGTCCAGTCCAATTTTTCTAACGTTGACTGCAACCATCAAGTGAAGGTAATAGCAAAAGTCGATGTGTCATTTCAAAGAGTTTTCACTAAAATTGGGCAGTACGTCGAACAGACAGACACATCCTCCATATCAGTTAAAAATCAGATTTGGATCTTAATCTAATGATCCAAAAACACAAACAATACTAATATCATAAAAAGTCCAATGGACTTTTAAAATTGTTAAAACATATTGAGTATTTGACTATTAGTTTTGCTCCTGTATAGGTTTAGGACAATAGACATAAATGAGACTATTGAGAATTATAGTGTCAATCAATTAATGTGAACATAAACTGAAAATTACATATTGAGCAAAGAGATGCACGACAAAACAGATAAGGAAGGAGCCAAGAATGTCCGAAAAGAAAAACCAGCAACGTTTAAAAGGAGGGATGATGTTTTGACCAGAATATAAAGAAAAGAATGACAAAAAAATCAATGGTTTCTGGAATTAATCAAATATACATGAAGGGTCTTACTTGAACGGTATCTTGAAATAGGAATTTCGCGCGATTCCCGTGTCATGCACAAACATTCACCTAACAGTGCCATCACTGCAAAGGCAGTAATGTTCACAACCCACCATGTCATTGATGAAGGCCAACCTCCATATATGATACAAATGAAAAGGTGGATGATATAAAGAGTGGCTGAGAAATCTAGGCACTTCTTTGCCCTTTCAATCAAATAGACTAAATAACCAGCCCTGTTACAATATTTAAATAGAACATGTATTAGATATATCATTTAAAAAGTTATACGTACCAGGTCCAAGCTAATTTACATTCATGACTACCGACATTGGTTGGGTAAAAATTCATAAACGTGAATTGCATATGCATAACATTTTTAAGGTTAGACGTCCATGTTAAAACCATCACATTCAGAAAAACAGAACCACGCTAAAAGTTATCCGTTCCCCCTTCCTCTGTACCCACTCAGTGGGGGTTAAGGAGTTGGGTTTTTTCCTCCAAGTAGCAGAGATTTTCTATTTACAGATATCAAACAGCTTTTATTAAAAAGCTTATTTTCTACGAGAATTTTCCAAGTAAGCTCCATTACAAAAGCATCGATTAATCCTTAATTTTGCATACAGACAGAAAAATAAGAATACAATCTAAATAAATGACAGCTTAACAACCATGATATTTGAAATCAATACTAGCATTCAAGTGTTTTATATCGTTCCCCATAAGAAATAAGAACTTCCCTGTCTTCTTGTTCTAATGATCTAGTCTTTGGTAGATGTCCTTAAAAAATAAAAATAAAAAATAAAAAATAAAAAAAATACCATTTCTATGATACTTTGACATACACCTTAAATTCTTTTCAATCACCCATTCCCACAATCTCACAGAATGACTCGTGAATGTAATAAATATCTTTAAGTTAGTATAGGGACTATTAGTCATTCCATTGTAGTAAGATGATTTATTCCCACAATACATTAAAAAATAAAGCACAGAAAATCATTATCAAAATACTCAGCTCGAAGCCAATGGGGAAAATTATACGAAGAAAAAGAAAAGAAAACAGAAGCTAAGTAATACTCTAAGTAGAATTACTAAAGCAACTCGAGCACCCAATTTTTTTAAACTTCACGAACCAATTTCACGCCACAAAAAATTGACAAAAGCATACGAATAATTCCCCATTCCACAAAAAAATTAACAGAAGTAAATATAAATAAAAATTAAATTTGAAATTCACAAACAACAAAGAACCTTTTAAACACTGTTTCAAAATCACTTAAACAAACATATTATACAGTAAATATCAACAGTATCAACAAATTTATTAATCTTAATCAAAATAAGTCACAGCAGAAGAACGAGAAGGATCGGCAAAACTTAAATCTTACCCAGCAACAGAGCTGAGAAATATGGAGGCAATGACGCACCACCCAGTAACCGTGGATGCAGTAACAACAGCATAATCAAAGAAATAAAATAGACTCATTTTAGAAACCCTAGACCCAACAAGAAGTGACAAAAGTACTCCGAGTGTCAGATAGTATAGACATTGAAGGCAAACGATTTGGGCAACTATTAGCCATGGATCCCACACCACCGAACCATAGAACATGACTTTATCGTTTTTCTGTAAAACTCTCAAAATTCAAGCATAAAAAATTAGAACTTCGTTAACTTTTAGCAAAGAATGGGGAAAAATCGGAACCCTAATTTCCTTGGGTAGGTTTGAATCAAAGAAAACCCAAATTTGTGTGAAACTTTTACTTTTTCGATTCAATTAATTGGAAATGCAATTTCCAGTAAATGGGAGATGAATTTTGGACTGATGCATAAAATAAAGCCAGAAATTTTGGGGAAATGGACTAAAATTGATGAGTAAAAAATAAACCGATTATTTTAAGGCAAAGGATTTCCGGAGCGGCGAGCCAAATTATTGAGAGAGATCATATTTGCTTTTGAGTAATGCAACACTACAGATTAGATCAAGGAGAAGGAAATCACAGAGAGTGATTAAAGAATTAATCGAAAATCAGAAAACGAGAGTTTGATTGGAATGTTTTCAACAGATCGGACCTGGGATCAACTCGGCCGACCCGTAGCAATAGTTTACGTGACGATAAATTTAGAGTCAATTCAATTATAAAAGTTAAAATTGACTTTTAGTACCAATTCAAGTTGACGTTGAGATCATATCTAGCTGTATGAAATAATGACTATTCGATTAGAAAATAATTCATTATTGTCTAACATACTTGAACAAGTCTAAAATTTTAATCTAATCGGTACCAAGAGCATCCTAACTTCATTGTTCAAGCTAATAACCAAATTTCACTCTATTTTACTATTTATTGTAAATTTCTCAAAATACCTGAAGCATGTCATGTTATTTGATAAGAAAATCCATAATTTCAATCTTTTATCTCCAATAAGTCAATAGCTAATTAATCCATCAACCCTTAGAAAACGAACTCGACTTTAATCTTTTATATAGTTGCACTATAAATCTTCAATGCTCTAAACAATTGTTAAATTATCTGTTAGCCGTCGCTAAAATATACTTTTATTGGACACCACCAACCTAACTTGAGAAACAAAACTTCATATTCTGAATTGTAACTCCAATTTTCATTTTAGAGTATGACTTTCTACAGATCCCTATTAAACTTCACATAATTGTCATATTGAAGTGTTTAGACCAAAACAAAGAAGAAAAAAATGCGCGTTTCCTTCTAAACATCTTGCAAAATTACACAGCAAACTGTGCTAGATCCCTCTGCCTGTTAAATATACAAGCGTTATGAAATGAAATACAATGCGAGAAAGTCCCTACAGAGAACACTCTCACCATACATAAATTCACTGTTATTTAAAAATTTCTCTATGTAAAGAAGATGAAAGCCGAGGGCAGCCAGATTCAGTGACTTCCAATAAATATGAACAAATGTAGAAGGTACACATGGCATTTAGATGTGTGGCCACTACGAATCATCCTGCTGCCGACTAACCTTTCTCCTTCGGGTAACTTTCCTCACAGGAACAGTAGATTTTTCTCCTACTTCAGCTTTTTGCTGATGCTGATCATTTATGGGAGCTTTCGATGAATTTATTTGACTCCTTAGACGCAATATTTCCCCCTTGGCAGATGCCAACTCTTCTTCTAGTTTTGTTTCTCTCTTTTCCAAAATCTCCTTTTCCTTTCCAAGTCGCATCACCAGGTTATGGGCATCTTCCAAATTTTCCCGGGCTTCTTGAGAGACTCGCTTTTGCTCATCAAGGGATTTGTAGAACATGTCTCTCTCATCTTCTAGTGAGGAAATACGAGCATTAGCAAGTTCTAAATCTCTTGAAAGTATTAAGGCATTTTGATTCATCTCGTCAAGTGATTTAGTAGCCTCTTCCAAATCCAATTCAAGAGATTTTCGCGATTCTTTGTCTTTCAAGATCTGAGTTTCCACAACTTTTAACTCTTTATTCAAAGTAGAGATTATCTTCTTTTCTTCTTCGAGATCACGAGCCGCGTTTCCCACCTTCTTATGGGCGTCAACAAGTTGTTTCTGTAGGCTATCACGTTCTTCAGCAGCTGCGGCCATTTCACGCGTAATAATTTGCAGCTCTTCATTTGCATTCCTCAGAAGCTCCTTTGTTGACCTTAACTCTTCAGCTAAAACCTCTTCACTGTGTTTTGCCTCATCAATATTCCTCTGTAAGGACTCTCGAGCTTCAGCAAACTCGGCCTGAACTTTAGAGACCTGTGCTTCAAGCTCTGAGCACAAATCCCTTGCCTGCTGCAGTTGTTTTGCCAAATCAGAAGCTTCATCTCTTGATTTCTCTAAAGTTTCCTGGGTGATCTGGAGCTCCTTCTCGAGATTCTTTACATTTTTCAATTCAATATTCAGCATTTCTCTTAAGCCATCTTTTTCCAGGGTCATATCAGCAATAACCACTTCTTTTTCGTTCACTTCATCCAAGGCAATTTGAAGTTGTTCCGCAAGTTGGTGGATTTTATTTTCTTGTTCTTCTAAAAGTTCCTCATCTGAAGCTGCCTTCTTTTCTGAATGGGACTTCAAGTGGCTATACTCGGTCTGAAGCGCATCAACCTTCTTTTCATATTCAGTTCTCTCAGAGAGCAAAGAATTAATTTGCACATTCAAGTTATCCACCATCTCATTCTTCAATTCCAGCTCTTTTTCATTTTTCATGAGCTCATTTCTTAATTTGCCGATCTCAGAATTTAAAACTGTTAGTTGATCCTGTGACTGCCGATATGCAGAGCTCAATTTGTTTAACTCTATCTCCTTTTCAGCGAGTTTCAAGTTAAGGTTCTGAAGATTATCTTCTTTATCCTTCATCTCTAAACTAAGCAAGTCAATTCTTCCTTCCAAGATTGCTACGCAATCAAACTTCTCTTTCAACTTCTCTTCGAGCTCCTCCTTCTCATTCCCTGCCTTGACAATATCCGCTTGAAGACTATCAACCTGCATATTAAGCTTTTCAACTAATCTTTTCTCGTTTCGTAGCTCTTTTCCAAGGCTAGTTATTGTACCATTTGCAAGTTTCAATTGGCTAACTAAAGATTGTTGCTCCTCACTTGCTTTCGCTAGATGCTTATTTCGGACTTCTTTTTCATTCTTCAAATCCAATTCATATTTTTTCCCAAGAGAAGTGATGGCGGCTTCTTTTTCCTTCAGTTCAAGATTCATCTATGACCACGAGAAAGAAACGCAATTCTTTAGAAAAGAAACATAAAATATATTATAAGACATTTTGAGATCTTGATTTGATACATCAAAAGGAAAATGTTACACAAAGATAGGAAATAGGATCTGGCAATCTTGTATGACAGGGAGATATGAGCTTTCCATATTTCATTTCAGCCAAACAGTTTTTGCATATTTTAACTAGTTTTATATACATACTTATATGTAAGTTTGTTACTATACATATGCAAATACCTATACATGCATGCAAACATACCACACACTCAACACACGTGCATACACATACACATATGATATATGTATAAATATTCTGAGATATAACGCTCCTACTAGGAAACGTGTCCGCATCCAACACATACCTCAAACACTCCATGCGTGTCCTTTTTTATGTACAATTTCTAACCCTCGATGGGTACCATCATGTTCTATATATATAAGCAATGATCTATCTCTCACTTCTGAACTTTTAAGGAAAAATAATAAGAATAAATTTGAAGACTCCAAAGACAATATGACCATTATTATAGACATCTTCAAAGATCAAATTGCATCCTTCAAAAGTTTGACCGGAAACACTTAGTGCTTATTTGATAAAACTTCACTAAAATTCGTATCAACATTTCAACTAGTCAAACTTCAATTTGACTACACATCGCATGGGACACACAAGTTTTATCAACTTCTCAACCACAAATTTCATCAACTTTTATCAAACAGCTAAAAGTTTTATAAAAAGCTTTATCAAACAAACCCTTAATAACATTCATATCACTTACAGATTCTATGGTTGCATCGGAGGTGGCCTTTTCCTTCTGAAGTGATGCATAGAGAGCACCAAGAACACCTATGCCAAAAATCCCAAGTCCGTTGAGAAGTGAAAGAAACAGGTTTTGAGATTGATTTCCCTGAACTGAATGCTGGGGCATAGGAAAATATTCAATTTAGTCCACTTCAAACTTGGTAACTACATACAAAAGTGACAATAGAGGATAAGAATCCAGCATTTAAGTAATCTTATCCAGATTGTATTCTGCAGATACTCAGACCTCTGCTTTTTGTCTCTGGTCTTCTGCCCTCATTTCTGAATCTTCTGAAACTAAAGATATTATAATTAGTAAGTTTTTAGAAAAGGATTTATGATAAGCTTGCAATTTTGAGTCATATAAACGTTCACCAGTCTAAGAAAAGAGTCATGATTACGGTGTCAATTTGATTGACTTTATGAAGATGTTCATAAAGAATCAGTGAGCAAAAGAAATATTAGTAGCCACATCCACATAAACATGCAAAGTCCAAAAATTTAAGATTTGTAGAAATATGTCCTTTAAGGCCTGTTTTAAACTAACCAGAAAAGTGAATTCTTTCTCTTTTTAGTGCAAACACACATCTCAGGAGCCTCTAATCAGTAAAACTGCCGCATGGATCCATGTTCCAACTATCAAGACATCATTTTTTCCCTCCTATTTCTTTCGATCTTTTCTTTTTCTTTTTTTCTTTTTCTTTTACAAGACTTCACATTCAATTCCCAAAAGTTATAATTGACAACTGCACCACCCATTTCAAACCCTGAGTACCAAGAACAAGAACCCATACAGAACATATATCAAACACATCTAAGCAGGTGTATAAAATTATTATAAAACTTGCAATATTCTCATACTAACCAGCCCAATTATTCAATGATTTTGCCAATAAATTATATACTAAGCCATACTATCAAAACCCAATTTACGAAGCTCATTAATTTTTGAAAAATAAAATAAAAAAGAATCTTGAAAACAAAGAAAATTAAGAAAAGCAAACTCACCTGCAGCTAAGGATTCAACGGCTTTTGCACTCAAACTAAGAAGCGGAAACACTGAAAAACCCAAGTAGAAAATAGCTCTCCTGTTGCAAAAGCCGGTTTCTTTTGGACTTTCTTGGCGCATACAAACCGTGGCTGTTCTGATCTTCTTCTGGGTGTGTGCATTTCTAATGGAAGAAGATGGTGAAGAGGAGGGAAAATGGCAGAGTGGGGAGTGGAAATAGCAACAACTCTCCATTACGTGTAAACCCGTGGCTTCTGACCCTTTTTGCTTCGGTTTTTTGAGTGATAAGCAAGCACCTTCGAATGCTTCAATTTGGAACTTGTTTTATCTTTTCCAATTACTTAATTTTCAATTATTTTTAATAGCTTGGAGTTGAAAGGACTAGAGTGCCCTCATAGCTTTGATATTTTTACAATTAAAAATAAATATACAATTTTTTATCAACTTTTTATGGAAAAAGTATTATATCTGAATTAAAAATAAAAAATTATCTAACCATTCTCCATTTTCAATTATAGAATTAGGAATGAAAAAAAGTCTTCATTACTCATATTAAGATCTTAAGAGTTTTTTTTTTTTAAACCATTTTTCCTCGAATCATTTTCAACTATATATTCTTTGAAATTCACAACTTATTTTTTAACCATATATTCTCTAAAAAAATATTTTTCACTTGAAATCAGACAAGCTCCAAACGTGCATGGATATTTGTCAAAAAATGTTGAACTTGTTGAAAACTCGTTTAGCATTCACTTGCATTACTATTGAGCAATTACGACGCTAATGTTATATGTTTCCATACTATAATTAAAATATTCAATTAGACTTCATATTTAAAAAAATAAAAAGAAATATCATTAATTAGTAGAAGAATAGGAACAAGTTCAGAAATTAAATTCTTCTTCTATCTACTATTTGCTAGATGCTAGTGCAATTCTCTTTTGTACTTCTCGATTGTAAAAAAATAATTCTTGAATTAAAAATACTCTATTTGGGATTATTTATAAAATTCAATGTCAAGTACTCTGTACACCATTTATAAATCTTATTATCTATTATTTAAAATGTTAAGTTGAGGGAAAATGAAATAGCTCACAAATAATTTTATAGAATGGGAGAAATACAATTATGGCACTTTAGTAGTTTGTCACAAAATGAAAGGAGTTTTCTTTGAAGTGCAATGCTATCCACAACCTACGTTTGCTGGGTTGCCATGTCATCATTTGCACAGAAAAAGCTAAGGGAACATAATAACCTAACAAATCTTTTATTTCGTCAATAATATATTGCTGATGAATTACATCAGTTTGGTATAACTTTGTGTATTGAAATTTTCTTGAAAAATCAGTTCCATATAACTGTATTGCTGGGAATATTTGGAAGCATTCTGGACAGATTATACATCTTTTGTGACGGTGTGCCTTAAAATGTATATACGTATTCCAAATAAATCTCACCAATAAACTGTTGGAATTTTGCTGAAAATTTTGTATTATTTGATGAATGAAAAATTAAATTAAATTTGAATCATTTAAATACGTGAATTATTGAAAAAGTACGTAGAATATTATGGAATATTTTAGAAATTATTTGGCTGAAAATGTGTCTTTCTATATGAAAGATTATGATTTTCGGCATTAACATTTTTCAAGAGACGTGTCTCTTAAAATATAGAGATTAATTTCAATAGTTGTGTATCTTCCATAGGTTGTGTTTTTTGAGATAAACATTTTCAACATCTATATATTGACCACATATGTTTGGATTTAATTATTCAGGAATTTCAATTCATTCCATAATTCCATATTATTCATTTCATGTCAAATTACTTAAAAACTTTGTAGAAACGATTATGTCTTGCATCAAAATTATGTTTATGGTAGAGAGTGAATTCCGTTCGAGTTCATCGGTCAAAATCATTTGTAGTGCTCCTATGACTTAACATGATCGTTATATCGTGGGAGATGATTGTTAAAAAACCGTTAGTATCGATGCAGAGCAAATTCATCTTGAGAAACAGTGTCAAACACTTGCCTCAGCCAATCCATCGTTTGTATTTTCTTTCTTCATTTTCTGATTTCTCTTAACTATGGTTTGATTTAAAAAACTGATTAACATTATTTACATGTTTGTTCTGCGAGATTTGATTCAAAGAATAACTTGCTTTCGTTTAAGAATCGAAAGAGATGAATCCATATTCATGCATTCGGATTCAGTAACTATTATTATTTTGCTTCTCAAATTCTATTTCGGTTAGTCGAACTTACGTTTCGATTTCACGCAAATAAACGATATGCTTTTGTGAATATAATATGCACATAATCGATGTATTCCCCAACATAAATATTTTACGGTCACTATTGCCAAGTAAAGAGTTGCGGGTTGGGATTTCTTACTCCTTAAAACAAAACAAAAAGAGAGAGAGAGAGAGAACCAAATAAGTAGACAAAAAACATTGAAGTGGCAATGTCCTGACTTAAGCAGCACCTCTTAGACTTGTGGGTTTCCATGGGCTCAACAGCAGTTGATAGTACTTCATTTCTGGATTTAATAGTCTCAATTGAACTTAAGTTTTGAATGGGATTTGAGTTTGGGTTCTCTGCACCCTGAGATTGTGAATCACCTCCTTGAGAGGATGCTGGCGAGGGTGGTTCTAGAGTAGTTGGCTTCACTGGCTTTGGTTTTGTCATTACCAGTCTACAAGACCTGTGAAAGCAAATCGAGTTTCAGTGGGTAGTCAGGGCTATATTTAAGAAACGAAAATCGTCAATACAAATCCATGAATGTTTCCCTATTGGTATTCAACCTATTGCCTGAGTAGAAAGTTGGTCACGACCATCTAAATCTCCACTAGATCATTATGTGGACCTCAAATTTTCAACTTTATGAAGCTAAATTTTATTTGCAATGCCCAAGTGAGGCGTGTTTCCATTAAATAAAACTTGTTAACCTAATCAAAAACGGAATAAAAATTATGTGGAAGATGGGTAGTTTTCCCAAGTAGCTAAAAAGATGGGCATTAATGGTGATCAATATTGTCATGGTTTTAGTGAAATTTATGGGGATTTAAATTTCACATCGAACGTATGTGCTTCTTTTGTGTAGTTTATATAAGCTTGGATTCTCCAAATTCAATGACTAACTTTTGAAGTATGACTCTTTCAAATTTTATGACATTGATTTCAGAGGATGCATCACGTCATGAGACCTTAGTTGGTGCATGGGCACCTGCACAGTGTGGGTGTTGATGGTTGTTTTTCATGGTTCGAGTAGAACTTATGGAGGTTTGAATCGTACGTCAAAAGTATGGGTTTTCTTTATGTGGTTTATATAGATTTAGGTTATCCAACTTCAATGACTAGTTTTTGAGCTACGACTCTCTCAAGTTCTATGACATTGGCATCAGAGTAGACATCACGTCTCGAGACCCTTGTTGGTGTATGGACACTTGCCCCATGCAGATGTTGGGGTCAGAAGCGTGGTGATTTGTCATGATTCTAATGGAACTTATAGGGATTTGAATCCCACATCATAAGTATGAGCTTCTTTTGTATGGTTTATATAGGGTTGAATTCTCCAACTTCAACGGCGCTAGCTTCTGAGGTGTAGATCTTTTAAGTTTTATAACAAATATTTTTAAAGAACACATGCTACATCACCTGCCTTGAATTTGTACTCTGTATTAGTTTATTACCACTATTTGTCATGCTTATTTCCAAATGAACCCTGCTCTCGAATGGGGGGGCGCCACGTGGGCGCTGTTTTTGGCCCTATCCCTCTACCTTTTCTGCTTTCAAATATTGCTCCAGAATTTGTTTCCTACTGACTCGCTCACCCCCTAATCATTTTAAAGTAATGAGGTCTGCCATACCTAAGAGATTCCATGCCCACCAGGTTCAATTAATATGTACATAGGATCCCATTTTATTTTTACACAATATGGTTAAGCTTTGGCCATATTATAAGAAAGTATAAAGAGGTTGCACTTTTTACAGTGCTTATGGCGTACACGATTATGAATTCTTCGTTGAAGTTGAATTTTTCGTTTCTTCACAAGGATAATGAAGAAGCTGTTCAGTACATGATGTGCTTGATCTAAGGATTGCAAATTTCATGAATTGGAATAAGTCTTTAAAGTGCATGTGTTGAAAAGTTATAGATAAGATTTGATTGTATCTTTTAATAATGGGATGTCGAAATTTAGGACAAACTTTTACTAATTTATAGTGATGTAATTCCCCTAGCAACACCTTAGTCATATTGTAGCGAAGTGGTGTACATGGTGTGGCAGTTGATCCTGTAGAGAAGAGTACAACCAAGCTTTGATTTCTTACATACATCTGCGAGACCTGTTAACAAGTACAAGACAGAAACATGTTTTAAGTTTGGGTGTCAATGACCACAACTTTACTTAGCCCCTTGACACTATCGCAGCCGCAGTTTGTCCAACTTCGGCCGCACATTATAAATATTACTTCAAGTTTGAGTTGTAATTTTCTTTTTATTGTAATAGTTATTTCAGTTGTAAAATAGCTCTGATATTGGTAAACGTTTAGTATGATCCTCGTCTTTTAAAGTCTACTCCTGTCACTTAGGTTTTTGATCAGAATGCTATTATAGGGGGTATTAGTCATTCAAAAATCTTTCAAGCTCACTGGTGTCCGCCCCCTGCACCAACAATTGTAATTTTCTGCTTTCGTCAATTGTAATGTTCAGTTTTCATCAATCAATGTTCAATTTACTTTCAATGTATTTAAATTCTCTATTGTAAGTTTTCTACAAAATTGTAATCAAATTTTCTTTCGTCCCGATGCGATCGAGAAAAGACGGAAGTTAGTCTAGCGAAGCAGACTACTGCCGCACGGTGTCCCTTTTTGTGTCAAGAAGAAAGGCACCCCGTGAAAGTTGGTATCAGAGTTGTAGCTCACGACCCTCGATAAGAAAGTTATGGATCCAATTACATCCCACACCACTAAAATGGTAGAGCCTCAAAAGAAGGATACTACTAAACAGCGTGTGGATGCGCTTGATGAGACAACTACTAGGTTGTGTTATGCTTTGGAAGGTCTCGAGGAAAAAGTCAAGATGGTTGAATTCGAGATTCGTGGATTACACATCCAACTGGATGAAAGTCAAAGGGCTTGCGTAACAATGACTGAAGCTGCTGCAATCATTCCTGATCTGCAGGATGAAATGGAAGCGTTGAGAGCTCAATTGCATGTACTCCAACGTGCGGTGGGCAATGGGCAAGCTCTCGTACCTGAGTATGCTCCTAGACTCAGAATTCCTGAACCGTGTACCTACGAAGGGACACGTGATGCAAAAGAAGTCGAAAACTTCTTGTTTGATATGGAACAGTACTTTCTCGTAGTTTCGATCGAAGACGAAACTAGAAATGTAACCACAGCTACCATGTATCTGGGTGGAGATGCAAAACTATGGTGGCGAACCAAATATGCTGACATTCAGGCCTACAGGGTTCGAATAGATTCTTGGGATCTCCTCAAGGAAGCAATCAGATCGTAGTTTTTCCCGAAAAATGTCGAGTGTCAGGCTCGACGGGCACTTCGAGACCTAAAACACACGAGCTCTATCAGGGAGTATATGAAATCTTTCTCAGGGCATATGCTGAATATTCGAGATATGTCAGAAAAGGATAAACTCTTCACCTTTATGGAAGGGTTGAAACCGTGGACACACACAGAACTTCAAAGATAGAAGGTTACTAATTTGAGCATGGCCATGGGAGCCGCTGAATGCTTGAGCGACTACCAAACAGAATCTAGAAAAGATAGACCTTCGAGGAGTAATCAAGCAATTGGAGGTGGTAACAGATCTTATAGACCCAGCTCGAACCCAAATGGGGGAGAGCGTTACTCTTAGAATAGAAAAGGAGCCTATCAAAGTACCCGTGGCTTTCAGGAAAACTATCATAATAACCGTCAAGGAAATTTTAACGGTAGCAACGATAACAATTGGAACAAAGGAAAAGCAACAAAGGGCCGAACTGATGCTACTTCCAAATTGAAGTGCTTTTTATGTGAAGAACCTCATCGGGTGTCAGAGTTCCTCAGAAGCGGATGGTGAATGCATATTGTCAGTTAGCAAGTGGCGGGTCAAGTTCAAAGCAAGAGGCCCCGCAGGCTAATTGTCATAGTGAGACCGACTCTAAAGAGGATGAGGACGTAGTTATGACATTTTCACATCGGTGCAACACACTATTGCATCGAGTTATTGAAAAGGATGATGTCCCATTGAAAGAGGCAAAGATGGAAGAAGCGAAGGCTCGAATTTGTAGGGCCAAAGGCTTAATGTACATTGATGTAAAAACCAATGGGAAGCCAATTAGGGCTATGGTGAATATTAGTGCTACCCACAACTACCTTACATGTACTGAAGTAGAGCAGCTCAGACTTGTTCTAGAAAAGAGTAGTGGAAAAGTCAAAGCAATCAACTCCGCTGCTCAACCAATAGCTGAAGTGGCGAAATCGGTGTTGATCAAAGCATGTCCATTCGAGGGAAGGACAAATTTATCTGCAGTTCAGATGGATGATTTTAAGTTTATTCTAGGATTGAAATTTCTTCAGGATACTAAGACAGCAGTGTTATCATATTTTGATTCATTAATGATGATGGGTAATAACCCGTGTGTCATTCTTACACAGGTTGGGAGGATGGGCGAGAAGAGTATCTCAGCCATGCAATTTAGTAAGGGTTTCAAGAGAAATAAACCCTCTTTTTTGTGCACTCTTCGATTAGAGGAGATCAAAGAGGCGAATGGTCCTATTCCAAAACCCATTAAAAGGCATATTCAGGAATTTGAGGACATCATGCCGGAAGAATTACCAAAGAAATTACCACCAAGAAGGACGATTGATCATGAGATTGAACTTATTCCAGATGCCAAACTTCCCGCCAAAGCACCATACCGTATGTATCAGCCTGAGCTTGAAGAGCTTAGGAAGCAATTGGGAGAAATGTTGGAGAGTGGAACCATTGTGCCTGCGAAGTCGCCATACGGAGCTCCTGTATTGTTTCAGAAAAAGGTCGATGGTTCTCTTAGAATGTGCTGCGACTATCATTCCCACGAGGACTGTACTTTTAATACCCAATTTATTATTTCTAACTTCTATTTGATGAAAATAAATAAAAACAATGATTAAATGTGATTTTTATTCTAAAGACTAAAAAATGCGATTGGATGCAACGAAAAGAGATTGAGAATTCAAACAATAAATGGACATTAGGGCGGAACAATTTCACCTATTGGTCACCTTTACTTCATAAATCAAGATTCATAAAACCTAAGGTAGTGTTCGATCGAATTCTTCTATTGTATTCAATTTACCCCTCTCGAGTTCTCATTGAGCCTATTTAATTAGTTTAATTCCATATCTCTATGCAAATTAAATTTAATTAAACGAAACATTGGTTCTAAGAATTCACACACGACCGCAGCAATCAATATATGTATCTCTACACGTTATATCAATTTACCGAATTTTAACATGTGGTCTAAACAAATAATCCGTATCTCTATGCAATCATTGTTCACAAATCATCTAATTAGTGATCAAATAATTAAATTTATTAAGAACAATATTAAAATCAACACATAAAATATAAAAGTACTAGAATCTCAATTGCATGAAATAAAGGATTCCAAAAGATTACATTGTTCGCCCTAAAATCAAATTTAACTACTCATAATAATGGAAGAAAAATAGGAAATTGTCTTAGAATACATCACCGGATTTGTAATAAAAATGTAGAAGAAAAAGTAGAATTCTTGCACCAAGATCTCCTTCCCCTTCCAATGAATGCTTCTAATCTTCAATTGCTTGGTGTTAATCTTCTTGGATTTCTCTTTTCAATCTCCCTTCTTGTTGTCTTCTCTCCAATATGTCAACAAGGCGTGGCTTGATTCCATAGATTCTTAGTGTGCGGCTCCCTCTAATTTAGGTCTTCAATTCTGTGTTTATAATATCTTGAAGTTTAGGGAAAGATTTTGAGATGAGTTGGGCCGAAAAGAATGGTAAAAACCTAAAAAAATTACTCTCGCACTGCAGCGCCTAGGTGCTGCGATTTGGGCACCTAGGCACTGACTTTCTATCAAAATTTCAGCATCATGGCGCCTAGGCGCTAAGGGATAGCGCCTGGGCGCTGAGGACTACTTCTGTTAAACTGGACAGCTTTCAATTTTTTTGTCATAACTTTTTCGTTCGATATCTGATTGAAGTGACTCAAGATGCGTTGGAAAGATAATTCAAAGGACTACAATTTTACTTCAGGAATCATTCTCCAATTAGATAGTTTTCTATGTCAAAATGAGTCTTAATGTGAGACCAAAACTCCGGCGCAAAACTTTTTGGTTGGAAAATGATTTATGATCATATCTTGACTAAATTTGATCCTTTTGACACCTTCCTTTATCCAATTGGCTTCTAGAACTCTCGGATCTTCATTTCAAGTTTCGACATGACTTTTGATTAATTGCATTTTAATCCTCGAACTTTGAATCTCTTACGTTTTGGTCATTTCATCCAATTTCGCTAGCTTTTGTCTATTTCCTTCCTTTGACCTCTTTTAGCTATAGTTTTCTCCATTTCTATCAATCTACAAAACAACGCCAAAATAACTTGTTAGCACTTCTAAAATACTCTTCAAGATAGCAAAATCATGAAATTAATGGCATAATATAATGTGTGTAAATCACTCATCAACTATCGAGTCTTGAACATGATTACTGTAAAGAATAGCTATCATATCCCACTGGTTGCGGATTGCTTCGATCGACTGAGTCGGGCGAAGTATTACACAAAAATTGATCTTAGGTCTGGATACTAGCAAGTTCGGACCAAGGAGAGAGACGAGACAAAGATTACGGTGGTAACCATATATGGAGCCTTTGAATTTAAAGTGATGCATTTTGGTTTGACAAACGCTCCAGCAACATTTTGTACTATGATGAATCAGGTACTTCACGAGTTCTTAGATGATTTTGTCGTGGTATATTTGGATGACATAGTAATCTACAACGAGACATTGGAGGAACATGTCTAGCATGTGAGGCAAGTTTTTAATCGGCTATGGGAGAATGAACTTTATGCTAAGTCGTCTAAATGCTGATTTGCTCAGACATCTATCAGTTTTTTGGGTCACATCATTGAACAAGGTAAAATTCGCATGGATTCGAAGAAAGTTACAGCCATCAAAGATTGGTAACCACCAAAAATCGTACATGATGTACGTTCATTTCTTGGGTTATGCAATTACTATCGAAAATTTGTGAAAGGCTACTCAGAAATTGCACTGCCACTTACTGAACTGACAAAGAAAGATAAGGATTGGGTTTGGTCATCCAAATGCTAAGCTGCTTTTGAAAGGTTGAAGAAGTCCATGTGGACGAACCCGATTTTAGCCTTACCGGATATGGCTAAACCATTTGAAGTTCATACAAACGCTTCAGATTTTGCACTTGGTGGAGTTCTCGTGCAAGAAGGACATCAGGTAGCATATGAGAGCCGAAAGTTAAACCAGATAGAATGTCGTTACTCGGCACATGAAAAGGAATTGTTGGCAGTAGTCCATTGTCTCAGAGGATGGCATCACTATCTGCTTGGGTCTCCATTTATTGTGAAGACAAATAACACTACAGTTAGTCACTTCATGTCCCAACCAAAACTATCGAGCAAACAGGCTCGTTTGCAAGAATTCCTTTCAGAGTTCAATTTTATGTTAGAGTATCGTCCCGACTCTAGTAATCATGTTGCTGATGCTCTTAGTCGATGGGCCGATTTAACTGCCATCTGCTCCGTAGCTGCTCTTTTAGGGAGCGTAGTCTCCACGAACACTAGAGACCAAATTCGGGCACTTATGGAGAAGAACCCGGCTACCCAATATTTGGCCGACCTCATCAAGCAAGGTAAAACTCGACAATTCTGGCTCGATGGGGAACTAGTGAAGACAAAGGAAGACCCCCTATATGTTCCTAAGGGCGGAGATCTAAGAAAATAACTAATTACAGAATGCCATGACACAATTTGGACAGGGCATCTCGGAGAGGAACGCACTTGTGCACTACTGCAACATGTATATTACTGGCCTCAAATGCGGGACTACATTGCAACATATCTAAAAACCTGTCTTATTTGTCAACAAGATAAGGCAGATCATCAGAAAAAGGTGGGCTTGCTGGAGCCCCTTTCCATCCCAACCCGGCCATTCAAAAGTGTATTGATGAACTACATTATTGGGTTGCCAAAAGTTGAAGATTTTAGCACTATCATTGTCATGGTGAACCGTCTATCAAAATATGCAACTTTCATTGCAGCACCTAAGTATATAACTGCGGAAGAGACAGCTCAACTCTTCTTCAAACATATTGTCAAATACTAGGGGCTGCCTAAGGACATCGTCAGTGATCGAGATCCTCGTTTCACTCGCATATTTTGGACTGAGTTGTTCAAACTTCTTAATTTAACTTTGATCATGAGTTATAGTTTTCACCCACAATCTGACGGACAGACGGAGCGCTTCAATTCTATGCTAAAAGAATATACTCGGCACTTTATCTCTACCTCGAAGAAAAACTAGGTAAAACTTTTGGATGCGACCCAAATTTGCTTCAATGCCCAAAAGAGCTCTTCTACCAATAAGAATCCCTTTGAGATTGTTACTGGCCAGCAACCGCTACTCCCTCATATAGTGGATATCGAACGAAGTACCAAGTCCCCTCAAGCAAAGAACTTTTCTCAAGAGTGGAAACGAAATATTGAAATTGCTCGGAGTTATCTTGAGAAAGCTCAAAAACGGTATAAAAAGGCTGCAGATCTAAAGCGCCATTTCATTGAATTCAATGTTGGAGATCTGGTATTGATTAAGCTTCCCGATAGAAATGTTTACAAACCAACAAGAGGGAAGGACTCAAAATTGTCGCCAAAATACATTGGACCACTACCCATCGTGAAGAGGATTGGAAGAGTCGCATACATAGTTGAACTCCCTTCATGGTATAAAATCCACAAGGTCCTTCATGTTAGTGTGTTGAAGCCATACTTTGTGAATAAGGAGGACGCATCTAGAAATGAGCCAAAGCGACCTGTGTTTGAACTGAAGAAAGCTGGAAAGAAGGTTGTTGAAGCTATTCTTGACCATCGAATCACTCGAACTTCTAGAAAAGATCATTAGGAGTACTTGGTCAAATGGATGGGATGCAGGAGCGAGGAGAATACTTGGGAAAGAGAAAAAGATATCGGAGCCTTCAAACCATTAATTGAAACATATCATGCATTGATGGCACCGAGGACGTCACCAAAACAAATGGTGGAGAATGTCAAGGACCGCAACTTTACTTAGCCCCTTGACACTATCGCAATCGCAGTTTGCCCAACTTCGGCCGCACTTTGTAAATATTATTTCAAGTTTGAGTTGTAATTTTTATGTCATTATGATAGTTATTTCAATTGTAAAATAGCTCTGATATTGATAAACGTTTAGTATGATTTTTCGTCTTTTAAACGTCTACTCCTCTCATTTAGATTTTTGTTTAGAATGCTATTATAGGGGGTATTAGTCATTCAAAAATCTTTTCAAACTCACTGGTGTCCTCCCCCTGCACTAGCAATTGTAATTTTCTGCTTTCGTGAATTGTAATGTTCAGTTTTCATCAATCAATGTTCAATTTACTTTCAATGTATTCAAATTCTCTATTGTAAGCTTTCTACAAAATTGTAATCAAATTTTCTTTCGTTCCGACGCGATCGAGAAAAGGCGGAAGGTAGTCTAGCGGAGCAGACTACTGCCGCACGATGTTCCTTTCTGTGCCAAGAAGAAAGGCACCCCGTAAAACCTGTTAACAAGTACAAGATAGAAATACGTTTTAAGTTTTGGTGTTGAGGAAATTTTTTAAGCATGCTTGCTTTTTCTTTTGATTGTCTTAGTTCAATTTTCGACAACACAAAATATGATTTAAGTAGGACAAATTAGAAGACAATGCTATATATTTGAAAAGAATGTGATTTCATTGTTAAAACGATATATTTTATAAACAAAACACACATGCATGTAACTGATTTCAAATTCAATATAAACCAAGAATTTATTGGTTGTGTTCTTGTTAGTAGGTAAAAGTTGAAATAAAAAATTCTCCCTGCTACCCAATGAATAAACAAATACAGAACAACCATTTGTAATGAATTTTTTCAACTTCAGAAAACTGAATTGGCATATTATGTTGGTACTTTATGTCCTAATCAAATCTATAAACAGAATTTATCCTCTTAATTAATCTAATCTTTATTACTAGTTGGTAGTGAACGAAAACATCCATTTTCAATCACCTAACGACACATTTCTTAAATAGTACCATTTATATACTATTTCTATGGGAAAAAGTATCCCACAAAAGAAGAATTATTTAAATTCCTTTTATTTGATAGTCGAGAAAATAGTTGAGTATATATTATTATCGTCATTTGTGAATAACTTTACAAAAAAGTTAATTATATTTGTTAATATTACACGTGTAATAACTTCACGTACCCTACTATAAAATGAGCATGTTCGGTAAATTAGACTAGACCGAATGAAACTAACCTTAGTTCAAGAAATATGTAAAAAGATTTGTTAATTATTCTGTCTAATTTATCCAACAGTGCCACTTGCAAATGATGATAAATTTTATACTATCCGGACTTTTTTTTGCAATTTGTCAGTTACTTCAACATCGATACAGAAAAGTCAACAAAAGGGATAGCCAAAATAATCTCCAAGGCATCATACCTGTCAAGAAAATGAAATTTGTAAAGCATCTTGTATTTCTTTATCAAGTGAGCACAACAAAAGAACAACAAAAGATAACAAATTAATTAAGCAATAAATTCAGTTCGATTACACGAATCCTTTTCACCACTCCAATCAATTTGTTACTACATTCTTCTGAAAGATCTAACGATGTCGATACAAGAAAGAAGAAGAAGAAGAAGGCATCAAATGACAGATTGATCTTGGCTTCTGATGATCAAACCATTAGGTCATTCTTCTTAAAGATTCTTGATGGAAAGGCAAAACGAGCTGAAAATGATCGAGAAAGTTCATCAGGATTTGCCCACATTAAGCCCTGATCAAAATTCTGTGCATAAGAATATGGATCATAAGTGAATCTCATTGAATTGGAGCAATTGAACTTTTTTTTCTTCTCTTTCTTCGTCTTCCTCCATAATAGTGTCCAAATGGGAGCTTTTGAGTTGTTTATCGACAAATTGAGTTGGTCATAGTAGTCTCGACCAGATTCAAGTCGACCCAATTGGACATCGTTGTTGCAGGAGCAGCACCATGTTCCAGCACCCATTGTGAAGAGAAAACCAGTTCTGTTGTGAATTTTGTGAGTGGGAATATAAGGAGTTGGGGTTGGTGTTTAAAAGAAAGGAGAATAAATGCATGTGGTGGAGTACTTATAGTTAGATAGTGATGCATCTCTACCTGATTTTATACACTACTCAATACTTTTTGTTTGTGTACGTACACAATGGGCCAATAGGAAGGATGGACATGTTACTTTTTCTGCTTGCAGGGGCAAACTTGCCATTCTATTCATGTTTGATCATATCTTGGGAAAGTTGCATTGAAGTCCCAAGATATTGGCCCAAGATATTAGTCCTTAACCTTTAACCAATTCCCAACTACATTTTCATAAGGGAGCATTAGAACAAAAATTGTCTTTTGCAACAATCAATGAATGTTGGGAAAGATCTTTTGCAACGTTTAGATGTATGTTACGGGTTCTGATATTGTCGTGAAGTAGAAAGATACAGCAATATTCGTTGCAAAGGACCTTCAAAACTTGACAATTTAAAGAAGATTTGAACGGTTGACGAACTACCACTTTCCTTCGTTATCATCTCTAGGTGGTTTGTCACTGCTCATGCCTTGTTGGCTTATCATCACATAGTTACAAGACATAAAGCCACCATTTCCAGTGGAAAGGGGGTAGAAAGAGTTGGGAAGAAGGCAAATAGGGAGCATAATGAAACAAAGAAAACGTAAAATTGTTCGAAAAATGTAAAGAATATGTTGAGATGGCAAATTTAGAAGTTGTCAAGAGTATCAATCTAATTAGGGTAATTATATTCACACCACACTTCTTGTTTAATCATATTCACACCACTTCTTGTTAACTACACCACATATTAATTGTAAGGAATATCCCCCAATATTTATGCATTTTTCACTTCCACCCTCAACTTTTTTTTGTGTCATTCTTATCCTCACCCTTCTATTAATTTGCACACCTTGTCTTTAACAATGATTTTCCCAAAAAAAAATCGCTAGGAGGAGTAAAAAAACTCATTTGCCTCTATTTTAAATAAGCAAACAAAATAAAAAGTACAAAAGTTTGAAAAATTGTTTGTCCCTCATTTCAATGCACTGCAGTTGAATACTTAGACAAAAATCGTCGTCTAAGAAAAAAATTTAATAATTTAATTAAGGGTTAATGATAAAAACGCGACGAAAGAAGTGAAAAAAAAAAATACTGCCAAAATTAGTAAAAAATAAAAACCTACGTTGCTATTAAAATCTTATACAGATAATAAAAATCGTGATGTAAATATAATCAACCAAGTAGTTATTGAGCACCTAACTCAATTAGCATGGATGTAATTTCATAATTTTGACCTTCAAGTAGATGAGATCCATCAAATCATATGATGCAGTGCCATACAATGATAGTTGACTGGAATTAATTTGTTACTTGTGATTGAGCTAGATTCAACTTGGTGGTTTGAACGACTCATATTATAAATATCCCTTCTGAGCATTTGATTTGCATGTTATTTCAATGATTCTTTAAATGAGTTTTCCATATTTTTACTCGTCAATGGAGTTGTAGAAGAAAACGTACGTCTTTGTTTCTGAAAGAGAGCGTGTGACGTACCAATTATATTTATATTTTTACTCTACTAAGACTATAATTGTAAAATGTGATCGTACATATTAAGTTCAATATTTTTATTTTATTTTATGTATTTAAAATGTGGTGGTCCAAACAAACTTAAATATTTTAAAATTATTAGATTTTTTTTTTATTCAATTTACTTCTTTAGATGGATTACCCCGAGCTCAATCCGTCTTGAAATACAAGTTTGAGTTGGGTTCTTATTAAGAAATATTTTTAGAGTTGCGACTTAACAAATATTTGAACATAATTTATTTACAAAGATCTACCTGCGATTACAACTGAAAATTAAATAGAGAGCTAAGTTCTACCTTATGTACAAAGTAGAGGCCTTAAATACAACATTTTCTTTACCAAAAAAACAAAAAGAAGAACGGATGAACTGTCATTAGTATTCAAAAGAAAGGTCCACACTCCACAGAATAAGTCATCACAGTTTATTTATTCAATAATCTGTTGAAATAGATAAAGGCCTTGTGTACAAGACGTGGCTTATATACTGTTCCAACGTCAGCAAGAATTTCTTGAGTCATATTTGGCTCAGCTTAAAGGTTACATCTTTCAGCTTATTTTTGACATCTGCCGAATAATCTGGAAAGAAGTAACCTTTTCAGCTAGACTAAACATGCTATGAGGATTGAGGAAATCTTTTTACTTCAAATATTTAAGAAAAATGTAAAATTAACATGTTTGAAAATAAAAGTTTACTTATATATCTTGTCTGTACTTGTTGAGCAGTCAAAATACCTAAAGTCCCAATTGAGTTTGTTCTAAAGGTTAGTGGTTCAAATAAGTATGGAGGCCGTTCTCACTCTCAAGCATTACTTCTCGAGTTAGGGGCCAATGTCTTGGGACTAACGTGAGATCCCATTCGAAATTATAAATTCCCCTTTTACTACTAATTATCAATTGCTTCTAGCTTAAAACTTATTCTTAAGTTGCCTAAGAAAACATTAAGGACAAAGGAAAAAAAACAAAAGAAAAAATGAGTTTCAAAATTTTTCTTCCCTTTCCTTTTCCAAACTCAACTTGTCACTTGACAAGTGGTGGCATGTCTCTTTCGATTAGTCACTACATCCTTCATAACTCTTATAGGGCAGAATATGCCAAGTGTTCACCCCTCTTTTGCAGGGTGCAAAATTTCCTTCTTTATTATTTTTCTATATCATACAATTTTCACCCTGTTCTCTCCACCCAATCAAACTTGTGATGAAAAGTTTCATTTTATTAAGGGAAAAGGTTCAAGTCCAAAAGCAATCCCTTTCTGAGAATCAATCCTCACCCTTTTAACAAACAATATCCCCAAGCTTATAAATATACCTCCCCACCCTACCCCACAACTTTTCTTCTATTCCATCCTTTCAATTGCTTTGCTTGGGCTATAATACTAAGATTCTCCCTGGTTATATTCTCTCTTGTTGAAGGTAAAACAATTCTTTCTAGCAATAAGAGATGTGTTACCCGGGTGCATATTGGGTGTGTCAGTACAGCCCGGCAGGTCCTCGACGAGTAGTAGTTTCGCCGGTGACACCACCACCACCATCGGCAGCTGTGGTAGAGGTGGCAAGACAGCAAGAAACAGTTACTACAGCTGAGGCTAATGGTGGCAGTGGAGGAGTTGGTGGTGGAGGAATGAGAAGATGTGTGTGTTCACCAACGAACCACCCGGGTTCGTTCAGGTGTAGACATCATCATGCAGAGTATGAGTGGGTCGGTCGGATGGGACACAGGCCTAGTTAGCAAGTACATATGTTTCATCACCTAGCAAACAAGGAGAAACTATATTTTATTTCTACTCTGTGAATTTCCTCTTACTGTAATGTTATTGTATAAAATCATTTATATGATGATTTTATTTCTACTGAATGATTTTCCTCTTACTGTAACATGCACCATAAGAATAAGATCAAGAAACTTATTGTATTGGATGAGTTTGGATACGTGTTTGTGCGCGTGCAATGACAGATTTTACATCTACTCATGCTCAATTTCTTGTGTCCAACTAACATATGTACGTATGATAATTAATAATAAAGATCCATAAAAATGTTTGCCCCATAACCATTACAGAGTATAATATTATACATGAAAGAGACGGTAATAATCCAAGATTATAGTAACAAAAACCCAGCTCTGGTCTCCCTATTTGGCAATCTGCAAACACAACCTCATCTCCTAGCTCTGTTTATAAAGTTTTTCTGCAGTGTCCAGTATTCCATCACTGTTGATAAATTGGAATTAGCTAAGCAGTTCAAATTTCCAACTATAAGAATTTTGCGCTTTACTTGTGGGTATTATCACTCTCGCTCTCACAAACCTCCACTCTGAGGGGAGAGGGGAGGTGGTGGGTAGAGAAAGGGTGGTTTTTAGATGGTGCAATTGCTTTCGAATTGTAGGCCAAGACGCAGCATTAGACAAGATTGGGGGTATAATGAATAAGATTTTTCTTTCTTAATTTCACATAAAATTGATTTCCTTCACGTCCAATTCCTTGCATTGTTATACACATGCAAGAAAGATCAACCAGAAGATAGGTAAAACTAGAAAAAGATTGAAACTTTACCTCAGGATAGCAGCTTTGATGATCAATTGTTTGGTTTTGTGCATTTAAAGTGATTTCACATGATATTTTTGCCTGTAATAAATCACAATTAGGATTCCACGAGAAACTGACAAATTTGATTTTGATCTGCACATTGACATTTCGTAAAAAGATAATAAATAGTTTAGATGCCCGTGCCACCAGGGTTGAGGGGGGATTTGAGTACCCGTGCCACCGTAATTTTATTTCCACCTAGTCTTAAAAAAGTAATGAAACCAGATCTGTCCCACAGTTCGATACCAGGATACCAGAAAAGAAGAAGTGTACATATAGCGGGAGAGAAAGAATACATTAAACATCTCATGAGTGAAAATACATTGGATATGGGTGCAAGTAGATTTGACAAAATGACATTGGAACTAGTAGAATAGTACATGTACCATCGTAGTCACTCCATGATTCTAAATAATACACGTGCAAAGCAACAATATCATACAACAACCAGAATAAGAAAATTTGTAACAGAAAATAGAGGTGAGAAAGTAGAATAAAATCCGACAAAGGAACATATAAGATCCCATCTACCAAAGCACTAAATAAAGCTGGATAGGATAAGTTATTTCACACTGATCTAAAAATCATTCCCAATACAACACGACCTTCACCGTCCCACTTTGACGTTGTAAGCCCGTTCTCCTACCACAACCTTCATCGTCCCACTACATCATACTCAATAAACCACGACCTTCACCGTCCCATTTCAACCTTGTAAGCCATTAGTCTTACATTCCACAAATTCTAGAATCGGCAAATTTCAGAATTATGCAACATGTTCTCTTCCTAGGAATAAACAATATTCAAAGTTCTAACTTTTGCTAAACGCAAAGCCAAAATTCAATAATTCTTTTTGTTTGCTAAATAACAGTAGTAAGAAGAGCAGTATTTTGTTGCCGTATTAAACCTTGAGATCTATATAATAACTTATGTTCAATATGAGATACAATCTTCTAGAACAGTTATATTCATTTGCCTCTAAAAAGGCGATCACAATATCTTTAGCTTGTTCTTATCTTATATGTTGGAGGAAACTGAACCTATGGTCACCAGACTTTCTTTAAATAAGCACTTCGGCCAATCTATCTTTCTGGACATTCGAGATTCCAAACTTTAAAATTTTGTTGCAAGTTAGTTCGACCTGATGTTTTTGGTCCAAAGATCGTTAAATCTCTTATCAGCAGTATTCGTTGAAAATGCAAGTTTACCCTTGCCTGCAAATAGAAAGGGAAATTTAAATTTTCAATAAGAAGAAAAGACAAAAAAATCCTCGCCCTCCCTTGTCTTTGCAATCTGTATTTTCTGCACCATCACTTCTCTCATCTCCCATTGCTGGAGTATTAAACAATTTTCAAGGGTAATTATGTGCGATGAAAAATCAAATTGTGAAGAAATGAGAAACCTCTCTTTGGACCGGCTAAGGATGACCCTAAGCACATCTCCAAGACCCTGTGAAAATCTTCCCTCTCTACCTCTATGCTCACACACGCAGATTTTGAATCACTGACTCACAGGTGAACTCAGTCATAAATCGTCTTCAAACATGTGCCCTAATGGAAACTCTCTTCTTGCTTACACCATTTTCTTTAAGCCCCTACTGACGCCATGCTGCCGTTATAACTCTCCTCATATGACATTTGGCACACAACCTAGAGTAGGAGCTCGAACCCGGTGCCACTTCATTCTATTGCCCATAGGTTCATCCGAAGTGAATGAACTCATAAGCACGCCTTCATTAATTAATCGGCTAACAATATTTATCTTATAAATTTAAATTTGATCAATGAATCTAATGGCTTGGGAGGTTTCGCTTTACTGTTATCTGCATTTTATTTTTACCTGCTTAGTTTCATGGACTACAAATTATGTTTGAGCTCCATTTTTTTGTGAAAAATGAGTTCTGTAATAGGTGTATTTTTTTTATTTTTTTATTTTTATTTTGTGATTAACAAGTAGAGAGGGGTTTACGTGCAAAACTATTTTATTGAAAAAATGTGCAGTTGAAAATGAGTTCCAGAGAAAAATGAATTTTTAGAGAATGAGGCACAAACAAGGGCTAAATTGGCTGTTTCGGCTGCCACAACTTTAAAGAAACCATGTCTACGGAAGATGAACTCTAGAAAACTTGTTCATAAAGGAGCACATTACCCTCTAGATTATAAATTGCCTTGATATCAATTTTCATAACCCTTTAGCATGCCTTCCCCCAAACAAATTGATTAAAGACAAAAATGACCTATCTTTGTAATCCTTATATTATTTCCATTCAGTTGTTTTTCTCCGTTTCATCTATAGCTCCAAGAGTAAAGCAACAATCATCGTTCTACTTTTCAGAACTAGAATTAAACAGAACCCGTTACTCCCAGTCCAAGTTAAAAATAATTACTGATTGTTATTCCTTCATTTTCGTTAATCATCAAAATTCATAATCAACATGTCAACCCATCTTATCTCAGTCTGGATTAGAACTAAATTGTATGCAATGCTATACACCATAAATGCTTCTATTATTCTCTATTACTTGAGTAAATAATCGGCTGCTAAAAAGTAAGAGAAGGCGAGAAACTTTAGCTTTGATAATAGGAATAGAATACATACATCTATTGGACTCTTACACTACGCATATACTAAATTTTTACTCGAACAGACTGAATGCTTGTTATAGTGCAACTGGAGTAAAATGCCAATTCATGTGTTTACCAGTTATTGCAGAGCATACACGAAATAATTCAAAACTGTGCTAAATTAATTTTACCTTCAAAGGAATGTCGAAAAAGGAAACTCCAAGTTTCCCATCTATCTCAGTCACGGTATCGAACGGAACCGAACCCTTGGCTAGGTCATCCAGCAACAGAATCACGTCCGAAAGAAACTCAACTCCATCTACCTGAAGCGTAGCGCTGACATAGGACTTACCACGAGCTCTGACGCAGCCGTGGTTCGAGGTGGCGTACCCTAGGCGATTCCCCCTGTACCCGATCGCGACTGCTAATGAATCATAATCAATGGAGTAAAAGTTTCTGTTCCGAACCTTCACGGTGAGGTCGAGTTTTATGTCGATGGAGATTTTGGGGGGTGTATGGAATTGGAGGCCATCGAGACGGAGGCGAACGATGGAGACGTAGGGATCGGAGGGCCAGAGAATGTAGGTGGCGGCGATGAGGAAGGGAAGAACGGCGGCAATGCAGAGTAGGCGGCGGTGGAGGATGAGGCACGAATAGCGGGGGCGGCGATAGTATGGTAATACGACGACGTATTGAGATTGCTGGGGGAGGTGTTCCGGCGATTGAGGGTTCGACGGGAGTGGCCGGTAAAATGGCGACGTGTCATTTGGTTGTGTGGAGAGCATGTTTGGTTGGTGAGTTTAGTATCGGGAGGGGATCAGCGTATCACCACGAACACGAAGAAGACGCGAGTCAAGTGAATTAATGATTGGAGAGTCAACTCAAATAATGATTGGAACTTACTACTTATACATCCAACTTTACATAATGGATTATATAATATTACATATAACTTTATTATTTGTTTGTTGAAAATATAGTCAATATTTTCCCTCCACGTCGTGTTTGTTTGGTAGTAAGTCATATCCGTGAGAGAAGAAGTCAATAATGAATGTTGGAATAGTGAAATAACAGTAAAAAAATTAATTTTTTGAATAGAAAAATCGCTACAAAACATGCACATCATTTTATGTAGTCCCTTATGTACCAAACATGCACATCATTTTATGTATCATTTTTATGTACAAGTAACATAACCCTTAATCATGAACTTTGTTACATGTACATCAAACTTTTATATAATGAGTTACATAATCATTGTTGTGCTCTGCACCTAAAACTAGTCAATCACCACTCTACTTCGATTTTGACCAATTACAAGCCGAGTCATTAGCAGGTCGGTCCAATTAGCACACCTAACCCGATTAAGCGTTTAGGCCACTGATTTTCCAAACGTGTTTATAATATGGGAAAAATTCATAATTAAAAAGTTAAGTCTAGCCAATTTCAAAACTAAGAAGAAAGATTTCAAATTTCAAAAATCAAATATTTATTTAAACTTATTTATAATTTAATTAATTGTTTAATTATATATATTAAGGTCACAGATCTATACAATTTGATCACAAATTAACGATCTAATTAGTCACATATTATTTTTCAATTACAGATCATAATTTTTATATGTCGTGAATTATTTTAATGTCACAATTTAAAATTTTTATATGTCACAAGCTGTTTATTGGTCACAAATCAAAAATTTATAAGTCACAATTTATTTATCAATCACAAATATTATAATCAACTTATTATATAGTCATAAATTATCAAATTATCGATTTTTTAGGTAACACATTATTCTTTGGTCACAATTTATTTTTTTCATTGGTCACATATTGTTTTACTGGTCACATGTTAACCAATTTAATGTTCGCAATCAACAAAATAATTTGTGACCACCACTAACACTTGCGACCACCGTCGTTGCCACTAGCAGCTATCAACGCCACCAACAAGTTCCAACACTGTCGTCCAAACAAAAAGATTGCAGGCACAACATTCAATACCAAAACACCAACAAAATCGTAGCCCAACCACCAACAAAATTATCGCCACCATTGCCTCCAACAAGATTCAAGAAAACCAAATCCACTACCGTACCACCTCACTAGCACCAAACTCCACCACCAACATTGTCAGAATAACCTGCACCACCCCAATACTAACAAAAACCAATAAACTGAATCCAACAAAAATCAACAAAATTTCATAGATCCATCTGCATCACAGCAGCCACAACCAACGAGCATCCATTTTCTTCTTCGGCTCCAATCCGTTGCAACAACAACCACCTATTCTCCTTTCCAACAGGTTGGCACAACCACCCATTATCTTCTCCGGCTCCAATCTGCAGGCCCTCACGATCTACAAATGCGAGCGGTGTACCCACTGCCACACACAATGATTGTAGCAAAGAAAGAGACGGGGGATCAATGACCGTGAATTATTGGAAAGTGCGTAGAATATTATGGAATATTTTAGAAATTATTTGGCTGAAAAGGTATTTTTATATAAAAATTATGACTTCTGGCATTATCATTTTTCAAGAGATGCCTCTTTTTAAATATAGAGACTAATTTCAATAGTTGTGTCTCTTCCATAGATTGTGTCTTTTGAGACAAATCTTTTCAACATCTATATGTTGACCCCATATGTTTAGATTTAATCATTCAGGAATTTCAATTCATTCCATAATTCCATATTATTCATTTCATGTCAAGTTACTTAAAATACTTTGTAGAAATGATTATGTCTTGCATCAAAGTCACGTTTATGATAGAGAGGGAATTCCGTTCGAGTTCGCTGATCGGAGCCATTTGGAGTGCTCCTATGACTTGACGTAGTCGTTATATTTTGGAAGATAATTGTTGGAAAACCGTTAGCACCGATGCGGGTCATCTTAAGGATTAAGTGTCAAACACTTGCCTCGATTAAAAATTCACCACTTGCATATTTCTTCCTTCACTTTCTGATTTCTCTTAATTATGGTTTGATTTCAGAAACTGCTTAACATTATTTACATATTTGTTCTGCAAGGTTTGATTTAAAAAATAATTTGCTTTCGTTCAAGAATCAAAAAAGATAAATACATATTCATGCATTCGGATTCGGTAACTATTATTATTTTGCTTCTCAAATTCTATTTCGGTAAGTTGAAATTACGGTTAGATTTCACGTAAATAAACGGTATGTTTTTGTGAATATAATATGCACATAATCGGTGTATTTCCCAAACAGAGGTTAATTAAAGTAAGGGGACCCAATTGCAATTTTAGTAGAATTAGAATGACCAAAATTGAAACTAACCACCGGGAGACTTCACCCCGTGAACAAATACGCATAAATCAGGAACCCCCAATAAATCTATCCACAAAATGGGGAAAAAGCTAGGGTTTTCTACACCCTAATCGAAGCCTCAAAAAATTTAGAATTGGATTTTGAAACTAGTAGTGACTCACTCATCGTAATTCTATATCAATTTTGAAACCCATTCAAAAATTTGGGCTAGAGGGATTTATTTTTTCTGTGGAATTTGTGTGAATAGTTGGAAATTCGCAACTTTTTGTGTTTAATTAATGAGTGGGGAAGCGATGGCGGATGAGTACGAGAGCGATCCGGAGGAGGCAAAGCTTTCATTGAATTTGCGGAGAAGAGAGGCGAGCGACGATGAAGAGGAGGTGGAGATTGGAAAAAGAGAAGAGCCTGGAGAGAAATCAAGACGTAGTTTGGAGTCAGATTTGGAATCAGATGGCCAAGGTGGTGCTGCGGAGTATGAGGATGAATTAGAGGAGGAAGAAGAACAGGAGTATTATGAGGAGGAGGATGAGTATGCAGAGGAGCAAATTGAGGAGTTGGAGTATGAAGAGCAAGGTGGTGGCGGTGGAGAGTCAGTGGAAACTAAAGGAGGGGTTGAGGGAGATATAATAGAGGAAAAGCTTTTGAAGAATGATGCAGATGAGATCAGGAATAATAATAATAATAATATTAATGATGGTCAGCAGGTGGAGGAGGAGAAGAAGGTGACTGAGCCATATGCAGTGCCCACTGCAGGGGCATTTTACATGCACGATGATAGGTTTGGGGACAATGCTGGTGGGCGAAACAGGTATTTTCAACGTCCCTAATTCACGATGTGTTGACTCGAGTTAGTTGATTTGCAATGCTAGGCTGTTTGGGGTTAGTTATCATTGGTGTATGAACTTGTTTGGTGGTTTCATGTCATGTGAAGTTCAAACTACAAATTATGTTGTCATTAATATTATTGAGTAATGCCTGCATAAGTGGGATTTCTAGTGGAACTTTCTTTGGTTTGTGGATTTATAGAACATCTGTTCTTAGTTTGCAGTTTTATATAAACTCATATGTTCAACTTAAGCTGCCGACAAGTTCACCTATCCATACAGCTCATACTGTACTAATGCAAGCACTTTTGAATAGCGCGACCAAAAATCTTCTGGGAACATCTTAGGGTTGAGTCAATGAGGTGGGAAATACAGCTTTGTAGATTTTCCGTTTAAAAAATTCTCCCACTTGGTAGGGACAGGCCTAAAGCAAAAACGTCCTACAATTAGTAGTAAAAAAGTAGCCCAAATCTGTCCTATAATATTGAGCTAATTAAACAAATTCTGAAAATGTATAAGCTTTACTCTTAATATCACAAAAATCACAGAGTTTACTATAAAATTGATTCACAGTAAAGTAACTTGAGCTTTAATTCTGTGTTTAAAAATGCTAAATAGGGTTTTGAGGTGTTTCGGCTTTCCTAGGCAAGGCATAGGCCTCGACATGATTTAAGGTGTACCGCTTACCTCTCATCATAAATTAGTCAAAAGATAACAAAATTATGAAATATACTTATAGCCAAAAATCATCTTAAAAATTCGTAAAAATATATTACAACAAAAGTAAAAGTCTAGTTTGCAACTTTAACCTTAATCAGCAATGGTGCATAGATTAATTTAGAAAGTAAATATCATGTGATGGGACAAAATTCACCACTAAAATTAAAAGTCGAACAAATGAAATAAGTCACAAATGACCAACTGTTTGTGAATTCTACTTGTGCTGACTCTAAGTTAATAGAAAAATTGAAGAATATAAAGCACAGAGTTAACAAGAAAAAGTTAGAAAAGAGTGAAGTCACATAACACAAGTATCGTGTCGCCAGCCGTTTGTTGTGGTAAAGGGTTGTGAAAAAGTTGCAACTTCAGATAAAGACCTGAAGTACACAAGTACTAGGAGCATATTTGGTAGTGTTTATAACCTGTGAGTCCTGTAGGATTTGTGGATGATAAGGGGTAGTATGTTGTGTGTCCAATGGATAAAAAGTATGTTTGACTAGCTTAAAAAAGTGAAGCTTTGCTATACATGCACTAGGTTTAGTCTCACTGTTGGGCTATAATGCATTGTAGCAATTTTAGATTAATATTATATTCTCCTCACTCGATGTGCTAGAGATATTTATTTATCGTACACATCCGAAGAACAAACCATAATTTGTTCTAATGATAAGACTGTATGAGGAGTGGGTAAGCACGCATACAAACACAAAAATGATAGAATGTAGTCCTGAAATATTTCTAAGTTCCAATACAATGTTGCTCTAGGATTCGATGTTTTAACCTTTATTGCTCTCATCCTATTGATATATTAGGTTAGCACGCAAAGAAAATGATCTTCATGTGAATTTTATTTTATTCAGGCGAACTCTTGGTGGAAGAAAGTTATGGGAGTCTAAAGATGATCGGAAATGGGGGCATGATAAGTTTGAGGAGCTGACGATTCAGGAAAGGCATTATGAAGAGGTGAGTATTTTCACTGAATCACCATCAGGGTTAATGTGTGTGTATTTCCTCATGCGTGTATTTTTATCATGATCTTTTGGTCTCCTGATATGCGCTGTCATATTCCAGCGTAGGAGGACTTCTAGGGGTCGTAACCGGGGTCGCGGTAGAAATAGAGGTGCAGACATTGGATCTTCACGAGAGCATAGGCTCAAAGCATTCAATAATAACAACAATCAGAATAGTTATAACAATCACGGCAATGCTCCGAAGGGTGTGAGGGGGCGAGGACCTCAGAAGTATCGGCCAACTTTTAGAAGCAATAATGAGGCACCTCGTGCACAAAACAAACAGTGAGTATAAACCAACATTTATTCTTGTTCTTTCCTTTTTTTCGGGTGGGGCTAGGCTCATCAAGTTTCTTCACTTACATTTATCCTTCCATTTGTCTATTAGATCTGGAAGATCAACTGAAAAACCTTCACATGTTAGCTCTGGGAGAACTGGCATATCTGTGTCAAAAGTAGCACCTGATGCGAATCCACCTAGAAAACAAGTGTTTCCATCAAACTTAAGCATTACTTCTCCTCCATTTTATCCCTCTGGTTCTTCCACAAAAGAGACCACTTTGTCACAGAGAGGGGATGCCCAAGCTGGCACAACTAGTCGGAATGTTCAATCATCTGCTTCTGGTGAGAGTTTTCCAATTGCTCAATCCGCCACATTGCTGCAGGGAAAGGATATGGTGGATTCTATTGGCACGAATAAGCTTTATATTGATGGTTCAGTTTCTACAGTGGCTGGGAAGCCTTTCAACACCATGCAAATGCTGCCATCTTCTTCATCAATGAACTCTACTCAACCTCCACCTCTGCGGGGTCAAGGGAGAGGGGGGAATTCTTCGGCGCAAATGACATACAAGCCAGTTGTTTCTAATAATCAAGTCAACAGGGGTTTTCCACCAACCCAGCAACAAACTGTTCAGAGAAATCCTGTTCGAAGTCGGCCTCAATCTTCTTTTTATTCTTCTGGTCAGCAATTTCCGCGTCTTGATGGTGGATCACAAACTTCTCCACCAAAAGCAGTAGCTATAGAATCATTTGAACCTATAGAGCTGGAATCTTCTTCAGACTCGGGTAAATCCAAGACTGCATTGGTTGCTAAAGGAAAAAGTAGTGTTCAAGTTGGTGGAAGGGGCCCCTTTCTATATAGTGGAGCTCAGGTTATGGGGGCCTCTGGAAATGTGGGCAGTGGTAATGGTGATCAAAATTTCCCTGCTTTCTTGCCAGGTAAGTTGGTAGAGAGTATCTTACAAAGAAAGTGCCACCATCACAATTCACTCACTGAGCCTGATTTTCATTCGAGTTGCCTTTTGGAGTTTTGACTCTTGCACATTTTGCAAGTTAAACTATAATTACTTCATAGTGAGTGGTCTGTGTGGCTCATGTCTTTTACCTTAAAAAATGATTATTGCTGTTTGGTGGATTATTAGTTATGCAATTTGGAGGCCAGCACCCTGGTGGCATTGGAGTTCCTACTGTTGGCATGGCGTACCCTGGATATGTAGCTCAATCACAACTTGGTTTAGGGAATTCTGAAATGACTTGGTAATATTTGTATCACTACTCAACCTTCCACACCACACACAGGCTTGTACCATCAAGTCCAAATGGTGACAAAACATCTCCATGCAAACTTGATCTGTCTGCTTCATATGGGACGAAATTTATTTTATAATCTTTGTTCTTTTTCGTCGAAGTAATATATTTTTAATGACATTCAGGTTACCAGTTTTAGCTGGTGCTGCTGGGGCTCTAGGGACAACATTTGGTTCACCATATCTCTCTCTTGATGGTTCATACAATGCTCATCAATCTGGACAGACATCCTCTGTACCAGCTGCCTCAAGGTCGGTAGGACAGCTGCCACTTTCCTGTCCACTTTTTCCCTGTTTGCTAGTTTACACTTTTCAGTTGATATTGTAAAATACTTGTTTAGATTTTTTTTCCTTCTCTCTTTATTTCTGCATCCAATTTTCTTTCTAATAGCTGCATTCTTTTACCACACTTGTCTTATAGTGGATGGACTATAATTGTTTTCTTTTCCCAATTATGTGGGAGTAAATAGTTAATTTTGTTATTTGATGCAGCAAAGAAAACAATGCAACTAAAATTGATAATGATGGGAAGCCCATACATAGGCCTGGTAAGATATATTCAACTTTCCTTTTTTCCTGTGCAATTGTTACACTTCTCTTTTCCCTGATGTAGCTGAATATTTTCATCTGCAGAGATTGCAAATGATGACTTTGGGCAGCGGCAGAAGAATCCTCGCAGGCAAGTTGATCTTTCTTTTGCATGCAGCATGTTTAGGAGAGAGATCACTTTTTGTACTTCACTGTTTTCCTATTTTCTCTAAAGATATACAGTTATCTTGTTTCTAATGCAATATGAATTTTCTCATTATAATATCGAGTTTTTGTTTAATGCTCTGTGCAGATATACAGAGATGAAGTTTGACCAGTGAAATAATTAGTTTGGTGAAACCTGTTTGAATAAGCAGATTAAGCCTAATTTCACTGTCAAAACCTCTTCCATATGTTGGGTGTTGCTGAGTTTCTTAGTGCTTTTGGTGCTACAGGCCTTCCTCCTAGCCCTTTGTGTTGTCCAGTTTTGATCTGGAGCACTTTGGGCCGCATATATTGAGATAACTTAGGTAATAGCTCTTTTCTTTCTTGGTTCTGAAGACTGATATAAGTAAAATGAAACCTCTGTGCATATTCCCTCTTCCAATGGTTTTGGATCCTGCACGTGTAGATGTTCTTTTGTTCCACTGATCTTGATAAAATCAGGATTATTTGAGTTAATAACCCAAATAGTCACTGAACTTTGCAAAAACATTTCATGGGATCACTGAACTTTAAAAATCACTTAAGTTATTACTGAACTTTGCAAAAGTTTTTCACGAGGTCGCTGAACTTTGCAAAAGGTTTCCACAGGATCATTGAACTTTAAAAATTATCCCATTTATCACTCACTCAGTGACCCCTAGGAAATTTTTTGCAAGGTTCAATGATCCCGTGGAAATCTTTTGCAAAATTCAGTGATGAATGGAGTGATTTCTAAAGTTCAATGACCACGTGTAAACTTTTTGCAAAGTTCAGTGATGACTTAGATAATTTTTAAAGATCAGTGACCTCGTGAAAACTTTTTGCAAAGTTCCATGACCATTTGGATTATTAACCCGGATTATTTTTTAATCCAAGCTGTGCGACCATCCTTTCTGAATTATGACAAGTAAAAAAGATTATGTTGAAGAATAACAAATTGCCAAGCTAATCTAGTTAAACAAACTGATAATTTACAAGCCATTCTGTTCTTTATACAATTTATTGTCGGTTTATGGTACTACTTATGAAATTGGGATGTAAACTGTTAGTCCAGATGATTTCATAACATCTCGATTCCCACAATGAGAACTTTTTAATATGTTGTTGGAATATTATGGTTTTCGGTTGGCTTCTTTTTTTGCATCTTCTCGAAAATGCATAACAAATGAGATTTTATTCCAAATTGGGGATTCTACTTTCAATCTTTTTCTTCTGAGCTACTGCTATTTATTTCAATGTCTCGGGTTTGTGTACTTGTTATCCTCCATTCTCTTTTCTGACTTTTTTTGGCCAGGTATATAAAAACTGCCGATCATTTTGCATAATGATAGCTACTTTTTATCTTTTCTTCCGGAGCACATATTATGTGTATTAATTTGTCTCAAGTTTGTGTAATTATCATCTCCATTCTCTTTTCTGGTTTTACTGTCCAGGTAGATTGCAAAATGCCTAGTCGTGCTGCTTAAATAAAATAAGAGTGCAGGTATCTTGGGTGGCTGTTCCTTGTTCTTATATGCTGTAAGAGCATCAAAAAACTGAAGAATCTTTTTGTTTATTGACACTAACATTTCAAGTTGGACATATGCATGACTCGTCCTTATTTTCAAATGCAGGTTCTTGCCCGTTAATTATTTAGTGAAGCTTGCGAGAATTGTCATTTGGCTTCAAATATTATGGAAAAATGGAAATACCAAAAATTGTTGTGCAGCAGCTGTGTGTGTTTGGTGGAATAAGTCCTTTTGTTCGTTCTTATAAATGTTAGTAGAGTTTCCTTACATTCCGTTCGTTTGTGTTGCCTACTGCCCGGAGGTTTTGAAAGTACTTGCATTTTATGTATTTTAATAGAAACAGAGCTAACTCAATCCAGAACTACGTGGATTGATTATAAAGATTGCTGTTCTTTGATCCTGTATTGATGTTGAAAACAAACTTTGTTTGCGAACTATATCCGAGTATTTGATTATTGATCATTCAAGTGTTTGGTTCTCTAGTTTTGTACAAGTTTGTTGTTGGACATGAACCCTATTTCGCCCAAGTTGTTTTGGAACCCAAAAAAAGAAGCGGTTTTTTGCTGTTTACTTATAGTGCCACTTGTAAATGCTTCGACCCATGGATGCTTTGGTACTCCACTATTTATCATCAAAGTCATACCCATTTCGACTAAACTTTGTCTTAGTTTGTTAACTCAGTCCATTTTAATTAAGTTTTGACTGAAGATAAATTTGGCACGCAACTAAAATAAAGTGGTCCACCTGAAATTTTGCCGAAAGCTAAGTATTGCTAGTGTATGTAACACTTGGAACATTTCTCCTTAAGGTAGGGAAAGCCAAGTTGCTAGGGGTTTATAAATATTTTATTTGTATTTTTTTCCTTCCTGGTTCCTAGACAAACTGAACAAGCGGCTCGCACAGGGAAATTTCAGCTCGGCTTGTGTGTGCTTATCCCATTTAACATTCTTGTAAATAAAGTAAGTGTGAAACCTCCCATTGTTGATACGATAAGAAAATTTTACTTAATTTTCAACAACAGTTGTACATTCAGAGAACAATTCTAACTTTCTTATAACCTAATTAAACTACATATACAAAAGTTGGATTCCATTCCAACAATTTGATATGAAACCTATGCTAGAATTTGAATTACATGGAATACCGTTGGATTTTATATGCAATAATAGAGAAGTGAAATGAACAAGAATTTAACACAATTCGATGATGTTCCTAAGGAACGAAACGAAGATATTTTATCGAGTATGAATAATAATAAAGTTACATCATCAGTATTTATACTAACACAAGCCATACAAGACTCTATACTTTGTATAAGATTTAAGAAAATAGCCATGTATCGTCCTTGGCAAACAAACAGTATATTAAAACTTGAAAAGGTCGATGTCGTCGCACCACTCCGTTTCACTCGATGCTCTCCGTTCCCCTGCACTCCACTCCGCTTTGGCATTGGTAATTTGATCCAGTAAACATGTATTCTACTTTATATAAACCACATACACAGCAAATACTCAACCCGAACTAATCTTAAACAAGATTACAAGGTACTAGGAAGCACATCAAATATAAAAGCAAGTTCTGTATCACATATACAACCATCACACGACATATCTTCTTCCTCAAACTCAGTTGAAGGCCAACCTTGTTTCTTCGCGTGCTGATCTCTCTGGGTACAGCATATCGGCCGATGATATATAACAAGAGAATTCTTTATCCAAATCATCCTCAATATTTCTATTAGAAATCTGCGGCAACGCTTCACCCTTTTCCTGAAGATCCTTGATTTCTTCATTCCACTTAATACTGATATTCCCTTCTGTTTCTTTTCATCCTCGCCAAATAGAAAGATTATACTGATAACATAAAGTGCTCCGACGTGTCCTAACCTTGCAGCAGTCGTCAAGTACTCGGAAGCCGATTCCAACCGGTTCCGACTAAAGTAATCAACCTGTAACGAATAAATATATTAAAGTTTTTGCAATCAAGAACTCGAAAATCAGACCTAATGAATTTTGTTTTAAAACGTACCACTCCTCTTCTATAAAGATATTCTGGATTTCCACATTCCCAACACTTATCCAAGAAAGATTTTTCCTCTTCAGTTTGAGACTTCCATTGCACAACTGGAAACTTTGCGAGAGATACATGTCGATATACGTAAGAATCCTCGGCTATTTCCCTTAATACTTTGCAGCTGCAAAAAGGAAAATTGAAAGTTACAAACAAACGCATTGGCAACACATTGTTATGGTAACAAATAATCAGATGTTGGTAATATACCTCAACTTGACATTCGTTATATCTGTTAGCGAATCCGTCGCTACTCGAGCCAAAATATCACTAACAATTTCTCTCGGGATAGTCTCGATTATTGAGATGACGCGGTTTGTGTTCTTGCATGTAGTTTTTCGTGTCCTACGTCTTCTCATCCTTCTAGATTGGCCTTCGGTAAATTCCCGAAGTTAACTGGAGAATCTGGACAGCGATTTTTTTTTGTATGGGCGGTGTTTCAAGTTATATATAGGAGAAATTTTTGCATGTACCAATCCTTGAAGGACAAGGAAAGAGGTGTTTGAGATTATTTTGGATAGGGATGGAATGTTACCATATTTGATCACAATTTGGCATTAAAAATAATTACTTATTTTGTCTCCAAGTCGAGTGATTCACTATATATATATATATATATATATATTTTTTTTTTTTTTTAAACAAAATTATAGGATATGATTTAGACATCAACTCTTCTACACTGACAGGGGCCTGTTGAGCAGATTAATTCTTAAGACATTGTTTGGACGAGTAGTGTTTTTCAATGAGGGATGAGAGACTATTGAATTGACAAAGGTTAAATTCAATCCTTTGTAGGAGTGGGTACAGTGCGTTGGTTCGATTTTTGGCCTTACCCATACTCGAATAGAAGATTTCGGTTTCTTGAATATTCAACCTAAACTGACCTAATATATGGCTCTAAAATCGAACTAACCCGAACCTTACATGCTTCGATTGATTCGATTAATTGATTTGGGTTTGAATGCAATTCAGACTTGAATGAAGATTTTTATTGGCTTTTGAAAATGTATTTATTAAAAAGGAATTTTGTAGCAAAGTTTCAAAACCTTTCAAAAATATATCGTCGAGGTCTTAACCTATAATCTTAGTACCTACATTCCAAATTTTTTAACAAATATTTGAACGGTATATTGTTCAGATGATTTTTAGTTAATCAAAAGTCAAACGTTTTGACAAAGAAAATTACAATTAAGGCAATATTTGGATATCAATTATTTATTTGTGCTGAGAGATCCCCTCAAGGGTGCTACCCAATTAATTGAAAATTGAGGGAAGTGCCAATTCCCTAATAAGAAATAATAAGTGAAATTATGATGCATTCAAAAAGTAAAAATCTTCTTCCCTCTCCTAGACTCAACACGATTATGTTCGCACGTGCGATCCATTCTTCTATTCAGTTACAGATCTCTCCTCTCTCTCTACAACAGTACTCTCTCTCTCTCTCTCTCTCTCTCTCTCTCTCTCTCTCTCTCTCTATTACTCTGTTGCTGCAACTTCAATTTACACTCAATTACTCAGCTGGCTTACGGCAGCTCTCTGCCATTCTTTCTCTCTCTACAAGTTCTTTAGCTGAAGAACAAGAAATTACAGAATAGTGATCTTGAAAATCAACTTTGATTTTGTCGTCACATTCGTATTTGCATTCAAGATCCTCAACAGTAAGTTCCTCAGTACTGTTTTTCTAGATTGAAATCACTTAATTCTTTAATTGATAGATTATTAATCGAAATCACTCTCTGTCTCTCTCTCTGTGTGTGTGTGTGTGTGTATAGCTTACTGTTTTTCAACTTGTTGATTGTTTTTGTCATTATTGGCGAAATATTTTACTACTAGCATAATTTTTGTTGTTGTACAAGTTTAATTGTTTAAGGTGCTCATTAATGCTTTAGTTTATATTTTATTTATAAAAAAAGAAAAAAAAAATCGCCATCAAGAATTACCAGAGCTCGATTTGTAACTTTTTTAGTTTTCCATTTTTCTTGGCAGAACTGTAATAGCATAGGAGTACTGCCTCATACTTCTATTCCGTGGTCACGAATGTGAAACTATTTCAGTTTTCTTTGCTTTTCACGGAATTGAAATTCAAGAAAGTTGGCAGAAAATATTATAATGAAATTTGGGGTGCGATTCTAGGGATATCTGCTATTTTTGAAGGGTTATTTTTTGGCTTTTTTTGTTTTTGTTATTGTTAATATTGTTGTACATCATTTAGAGTTTGTTATATAGGAGTAGTTGATAATTTGAGTGATGGAGGAAGGCAATGTTTTGAGACAGTCATCGTTGAGGCCAGGTGGCGGAGCCTTGAAGTCCACATTGTCAGGGAGATCAACACCGAGGGGTTCCCCTTCATTTAGGAGATTGAACTCCAGCAGAACTCCAAGAAAAGATGGAAAGAATGGTGGGGCGAGTCCTCAGTGGTTCAGAAGTAACCGCATTGTGCTATGGTTGCTTTTGATCACTCTCTGGACTTATGGTGGATTCTATGTCCAGTCGAGGTGGGCTCATGGGGATAATAAAGAAGGGCTTTTTAGTGGTGGCTATGGGGGTGAATCAAGTGATGGGAATTCAGAGGCGCATCTGAAAAATCGAAGGAACTTGACTGCGAATGAGGGTTCTTTGGCAGGTAAATTACGAAATGATACAAATCAGTCTAATTTGAAGAATCTGGATGTGGTTTTGACAAAGAAGGATAACAGTGATTCATCAATTAGCAGTGTATCATCAAAGAAGAAGGGCAAGAAATCGCGACGTCGTTCGCGTAGGAAGACCCACAGTAAGTCGAAGATGATGGCGGAAGTTGTAGACAGTGGCGTTGATGTGCACGAAGAGGAAATTCCGAAGCAAAATACTACTTATGGGCTTTTGGTTGGTCCATTTGATTCTATAGAGGATAGAATTTTGGAGTGGAGCCCTGAGAAAAGGTCAGGAACATGTGACAGGAAGGGCGCATTCGCACGTCTTGTTTGGTCTAGAAAGTTTGTTTTGATATTCCATGAACTCTCCATGACTGGGGCCCCTCTGGCGATGATGGAGTTGGCAACAGAATTTTTGAGTTGCGGGGCCACCATATCTGTTATAGTCCTTAACAAAAAGGGTGGTTTAATGCCGGAACTTGCTCGAAGAAAAATCAAAGTGCTTGAGGACAAAACAGACCTCAGCTTCAAAACTGCTATGAAAGCAGATCTTATTATTGCAGGGTCGGCAGTCTGTTCATCCTGGATTGGTGAGTGCTTCTCAATGATGTTCTGTGAAACTTGGATAAAATTATCTGTTTTGTTATCAATCATTTATTTGCTGTAAATACTTAATACAATTCCTTTGATAAGTCATATTTGATCATTACCATATAATAAACAAACATTAGAATTCAATTTGATTATGCACAAGCGGCATGTGAAATACTATTAATGTTTTCCCTTATTGTTTTGTTCTCTTGTAAATTGTATCATGAAGTCAAACTGCTATTCTTCTTTAGCTGCTGTGTGTCCGTTGTTTTCCTGCTGATGGACTTCTCGAGGTAATGAATGGGAAAAACATGCTAAGTTTTCTGTGGTAAGTGGAAATCTTTGCTTTAGGTTGACTGAGGGTAATAAATTCAAAAGCTCCAGTCTGATCATTAAAGTTCATGAAACTCTTCTCCCCAAAGATTCCTGTATAATCTATAATGTCATTTGTTAGGATCTGGATTGGATTTGATAGTCAAGAGAAAATACTTTTTAGTTGTGTCTCTTACATTCTGACTCGGTAGTAAAAATGACAATAATAAGCCCTTGTCTAAGCCCCATTCTTTGGAAAAAATGCATTTTTCAATAGACATCATTTCAACCACATTCTTCAATAAAATAATATTACACGCTGTTAGGATCTTCCTCTAACTGCTCAAGGTGATTTCCGGGCTCAGTTAACCTTTAAATACCGAATCAACACCAAAGAATTGAAGAGACCGACCGTCGGCGCTGCTTGCTTCCTATGGTTGCTATTCTTCCTTTTACTTGTTGTTTCCTCATTCACTTATGATGAATACCACATAGGTAAGGGTCACAAAGACACAAGCAAGAGGTAGAGAAGATCAATCAGTAGGATGCACGAAGGAGAAGAAGAAGGCAGCCACTCTCTCTCTCGGGTTCTATAAAAAACGGGACTCATAGGAAGAAAGAGAGTTACCAATATATATAATAGTCCAATGACAAACTTAAGGTAAGTTATACATATGGTAAGTAGGCTCGACTAGGGTTATGGCCCAATAGCACACCAACAAGCCACAAAGGTTATTAGCCATCCAATAGGTAAAACAACGTTAGGTCGGGTCATCCCATTATTCGGTGTTGATTTATCGTTCAGTCATTCATGTCGACCGATAAAACTGGTTCTCATCATCGCCCGGGAGGTCGTTTGACAACATGATGTCTAACACACGCAAATTCAAAATTTTTCCTTAGTTTATAACCACACATTTCCCATCAATGCACTATTCAAAAATTCATTCTTTCCCCCAAAATGGGGCTCAAACAAGGGCTAAATATATAATGTGAAACTGTATCGACTCTGTTGTTCTCTATACTTGATTGGAATTCGTATTGTAAGTTTTATTCTAAATTAATCAATTCTTTGAAAAAATCAGAATAGTTTCATTTCTGTTTCTTTAGTGCTATAGATAATAATTATGTCGTGGTTACAGAACAATATCTGTCACGCACTGTGCTTGGTTCTAGTCAAATCCTGTGGTGGATCATGGAAAACCGAAGAGAGTATTTTGATCGGTCAAAGCCTGTCCTCAACCGAGTGAAAAAGCTGATTTTTCTTTCTGAATCACAGTCTAAACAGTGGCTAGCCTGGTGCAAGGAAGAAAACGTCAAACTGAAATCTGAGCCTGCTCTGGTTCCACTTTCTGTCAGCGATGAGCTGGCTTTTGTGGCAGGCATTTCTTGCTCACTAAATACTCCATCATTCAGTACAGAGAAGATGCTGGAAAAGAGACAGTTGTTGAGAACTTCAGTTAGAAAAGAAATGGGATTGACTGATAACGATACGCTTGTGATGTCCTTAAGCAGTATAAATCCTGGAAAGGGTCAATTCTTGCTTCTGGAATCAGCACGTTTGATGAACGAACAAGGAAAGCTAGATGATTCAGGAATTGGAGATTTGTCAGAAAGAGGCAGTGATTATTATTCAAGGGCATTGCTTCAAAATTGGAAAAGAGTTGTTGAATCCTCCAATAACTCTATCTCCAATGGAACTTCCATGGATTTTGGTATTCCCCGTCTCTTCACCAAGAGGGGTATTCCTAATATGGTGACATTTGATCGAATTGCAAGCATGAGAAAACTGTCGTCTGAGAGCATTGAACGGCAGGAACAGAAGCTTAAGGTTCTCATAGGTTCGGTAGGATCTAAAAGCAATAAGTTGGTTTATGTCAAAGCACTTCTTAGACATCTATCTCTGCATTTGAACTTGTCAAAATCGGTATTGTGGACTCCAGCAACTACTCGTGTTTCCTCTCTGTATGCCGCTGCAGATGTCTATGTTATGAATTCCCAGGTATTTATTTTAGTTTTCAGTGTGTGAGATTAACGTATCTGCTTATTCATGTTTGAGAAACTTGTGTAGCTTGAGCGATAAATTTAGGTTGCTTTTGTTTGGTATGAAAATGCCTCATTTTCTCCTCTAATTTTTCCAGCAAAATAGCATAATCTACTCATTTGTAAATTGCTTGAATATATACTATAATGAATCGGCTCATAATCCAGTATTTATTATGCGTGCATTGCCCTCTCCATTTTTGTTCCCTTACATTTTATCCCACCATCTTCTTTCTGGGAAAAGAATACAAACCACTGTTGATATCTTATCTAAGTTGGTATTTAATCTCGTTTTTAGAACAATGCTAATCAAATAAGACAAATAATTAGCGGTTGTGGCAATTATAGTGTGACTGTTTTATCTTTCTTTTTTCCTTCTTTCCTACTATGTCCATTTATTTGCATTTTGCAACATGAAGGAAGGAGAAAAAATTACAAAATTATTGTGACTTCATGGGAGGAACTCAACGATCACGTAAGTGGACATATTTAATGTTTCAATTCCAGTCCTTCAAACATTAAACCGCTAAAAAGACATTCCATATTATCTTTCATGGATCTCTGATTTAAAACATTTAACTTCTGGAGATAATTACTTTTTTTTATTAATTTACTTTAAGGTGGCAATGCCTTGACTGTAACTGTCAAGAAATAACGATATATAAAAGCAATTTATGCATCAGAAAATAAAATTGATTAATTGAAAAGTAGATGTCATACTGAATTTTACTTTGTAAGTGTACGGTTATGCAATCAGAGTGGAACTGGTCAAAAGTTGGGAGAGGTAGACAAGAAGTAACATGGGCTGACGTAGTTGTGAAGGATTTGATGTACATTGGATCTTTCATCATTTGGTTTAGTTGTAAGTCCTTTGATATATGCCTTGTGATCCAATGAGCAAAATGTGAATCAAAAGTCACTCCTTTAATCCATGGAGAAAAGCTGGAATGGTAGGGGATCTGCTCAAGAAGAAGAGATTACATTTGTAGGCATAAAAGAAATTTCCATGTATTTTGGGAAACTGGGCGGTAAAAGGAAAATAGGATTTAAATAAAGTTGAGAACAGCCTTAAATGGACACCAGCTTGACAAGATATGTAACTGATTCTTCACGTGCTGCTTTCATTTCTCTACTAAGTGATTAAGTCACCCGTTGACCAACTTTTTCTATCTTCGTTTTTTGACAAATGTTTCACCTGTAATGCAGAGGGGTGAATATGAAAATCAGTATTGTTTTCTACCTTTGTAATGTTACAGCCACTTCATTGTGCAATGTGTCGATTTGATCAAATTAGTGAACAGTTCATGCATCATTTGAATTTCTCGTCATCATTATTAGATGTAGGTTTACATGTATTTCACAGGGAAACATTCCATACTATGTGGTGGGATGCTAGTTGCAATAAACAAATGACAGGAAAGCATTCAAGCATGTCACTTGATGATTTGGGGGGATCCTATCTGAATACAGAAATGAATGATAACTTGATACATGCCATAATTTGTCTTCTTTCATTTAAGATAAATATAATATGTCAAACATTCAAATTATTTTATTTTCTTGATGCTTTATGATGATCTTGCAATGCTGTTTATCTGTATAGGATTTATTTCATAGTCATTTCTTTTATTCTTGCGATATGCTCTCTCTTTTGTCAGATAACTTTGCTTTCTTTATAACTTGCAACATTGGCTATTTGGACATTATTTGCAGGGACTTGGAGAAACATTTGGAAGAGTAACAATTGAAGCAATGGCATTTGGACTTCCGGTATGTCACTCAATTCTGCTCATTATGATGCATCTCATGAAATGATGATGGATGGTCATTGGTTTGTATTTTATATCCAACAACCATACCTAAGAGCACAGACTTTGCATATTCACGTAAATTAGCTTCTTATCAGTTCATGTTAGTTCTAGCATCAGATTGCAATCCTAAATCCCAACCCAAAATTAATGCAAATTTTTCTAGCATCTGTATACGTAATTGTGTCAAGCTTGCAGTAAAACTCAACGGTTCCCTTTCCACATACATTAAGTTTATGTTTGGTAAGCAATAGTGGATAGGATTGGATTGAATAATGAACAAAGATTTTAGCTTCTTTTCTTTCTTATTACCGGCCTACCAAACGTGTCATAAAGAAATTGGAGGATATCCTGCACTTCCATTTCCTGAGTGATCCTTCACCTTTCAGAACCTAGCTCTATGTTTTTGACATTGCTGGATAGGATAGGATTATCGTGTATATAGATGGACTTATCCTCGCGGTTAAATGTTTCAAGCCTATTGCTGCATAATTATGATTTAGTGGTTTCTTCCTATAGAGGTTGCCTTTCTGATACTGTCATATATTTACTTTTTTTGTAGTTTTTGATAAAAGTGTTAAAGACTCTGTGCAGTGGCTGAAGGAGGTGGGGTCCTTGGCCCCTACTAAAATTTAAGAAAATTCTTTTCTATATAAACTTTTTTTTAAAAAAAAAATTTAATTATTATAATATTTTGTGTTCGAAAAAATATGGGTATTGCTATTTCTATCAACATTTTTTATAAGTACATCCCAAATAAAATTTAAAAAATTTAAAAAAATACTATTACATCTACGTCATATTCCAGTCTTGTCCTTATTAAATTCATTCATTTAAATACTATATATCCACATTAATTTTATATATTCATCCCACTTTAAATACATCCCTATCACTATAGATTCGTCCAATCCCTAAAACCATAAACTCTTAAACCAAATGAATGAAATAAGAATAAAGTTGAACTATTGAACATTATTTTATGAGGAAATAACTTTTTTGTCTATTGAAGTTTTGAGTATCAGAATGCTTCAAACAGTAAAGGCTAAAGAAAGAAAGAAGAAGAAAATTCGATTAAGCAAGCTGAATTCTCCTAACCTTGTTGACTACAATTATTCTTCTTTCTTGATTAATTGATGAAACTGCATCAAATTCCGTTTTGCTTTCTTCGAAATTCGATATGATTCTCAGCACAGAAATCACATTTAGGGCCACCATCACCTATAATTATATTCATGAATTTTTCTCTATCTATTAGGATTCTAGTTAAGCATAAATGAAAATAAAAACTAGTGGATCAATTTAGAGTTGTGTATTTTTATTTAATTTTGTTTATCTCTATTTAAGTAAATTTACATAGAATTTAAAATATAACAAGATTTAATTTTTAAAAGTGGATGTATATATAAAAAGTGTGGATGGATATAGTGGTACCCAAAAATATTCTGCAATTATATTAGGCCCCTACTAGATTCGAGTCCTAGCTGTGTCATTGAGGCACTGACTGTGCGGAATCTAAGCATAATGTACAGTTATCTTCTTGACCGTGGATCCACATAATATTCCTACGTATGTGAAAGATTATTTAGCTGGGCTTTTTCCATTTTTTTCCATTTTTTTTCTTTTTTCTTTTTTTTTTTTTTTGAGAGACGAATGGAGAGGTACGAGTTAACTTCTATAATTCTTTTTGATGTAGCGGCAGTGGATATAGGTCTTCCATTAAGGAAACCCATTATGGATTAGTGTGTTTCTGATTTCGTTTTATTTATTATTGCTCTTATAATTGGGATTATACTTGAAGTTCCAAAAAGAGCAAACTGGTCTTTACATCCTCCGGTTTTACATATTACTGTGGCGCAGGTTCTGGGAACAGATTCTGGAGGCACAAAAGAGATTGTCGAACACAATGTAAGTGGTCTACTCCATCCTTTGGGGCGACCAGGTGCTCGAGTTCTTGCTAAACATCTTCGATTTCTAGTCGAGAATGTATCTGTGAGGCAGGCAATGGGATCAAAAGGTAGAGAGAAAGTAGAGAAAATGTACTTGAAGAAGCACATGTACCAGAAGTTTGGTGAGGTCCTGTACAAGAGCATGAGAATTAAGTAACATTTACCAAAGCACATATTTGATTCTTTAGTTGGTGAGGAAATAACAATGTGTATCATACAATTAGAGCACTGAGGGTATGTTCCGTATACACTTCGTAGTACAATGAACAATATTGTGGGTATGATCAGTATAGATTGAATATTATTTTTAAATTAATTTTATCAAATAATTTAAGAAAAAATAAAAGTTAAGTATTAATTCCAAAACAATTTTATGATTTCTTGAAAACCTTGATTAAAGATTGAGAATTTAAAGAACTTGAAAACTATAAGTACAAGATAATCTCGATTCAGGCTGAGTTTAATTAAAGAAAAGAAAAATTAAAATTCTTTTCTCGAACTTAACTATCTGTGTTGTCGACCAAAAACGAAGAATTTCAATTCTTGCCATCAACTCTATGCTTAAAAATGTAGAATAATGCAAATTCCAATATGTACGATATACACAATTCTGAACTACATTTCTCGAATAAAATTTTTGTACAAAAATATAAGTTAAAATATAACTTAGGTCACAGTATGATGGATTACGACGATAAGTGTTTGATTGTATAAAAGTTAATTTTTTTCAATTAAAATAAATTTGGTTAAAAAGAACATTTAGCAAAATAAGTAATTTTTGACTTATTTTAAGCATCGCCAAAACATCTTATTCGGAAAAAACCTTGCTTTTTATCAGAATTTTAACGTTCCGTTATTCCATTCAACCACAATTGGGAAGAGGCGTGGATGAGACCTCGCCGTCTAACTATTCGACGAAATGCCACTTAGAAATTTCATGCACTTTAGCACAAGATTAAAGGTTACTGATGATACCAATATTGTATACCCGAGGACTATTTCCCCGAGGACTCCATACGTGCTCCGCTCACTTTTTTGCCATATGTCCTCGAGATCTTTCTAGTCCTCGAGGTATTTTAGTCCTCGAGGAAACTCGTAAGAATATTAAAATCACCCCATGGTCCTCGAGAATATGCCCTCGGGACATATTCCATTAACAGATCTCCTAGACCTATGTGCCTAACAAACGAACGCCTAAACACCCAAGAACTCTATATTAACTCTTACACCACTTGTCAAAAAATTCCATTACGAGTAGGACATTCCTGACAAACAGGACTCCATTGGATAAAAATATCCAACTGACACAATTCTACTAGGAGTACACTACCTACCTCTATAAATATTGAACCTTGGGCCATTATTCAGGTACTTTTTTTCATTATTTTCCAGTTTATAGCCTCACACATATAATTCTCTTTCTGACTTAAGCATCGGAGGGGCGACGAGAACATACCTCATTGCCTTTGTTTCAGGTACCGGAAGACTACGATCGTGCTCAATCAAAATCATCAAGCTCGGGAAATCAACAAGTACAATTTTTGGTAGCATCATTGGAGCCGTCTGTGGGGAACGCTACCAAAAGCCATGGTTAACACACGATCAGCTCTTCCCCCTGCAAGCTCATCCGCTTCCATTCCTCAACCTGCCGAAAATCAACCGGCTCCTCATGAAGAATCGTCAAGAGTACCCGCACCTCTGCCAGCGGTCATCACAACCGAAGCCTTTGAAGAGCTTCGTCAGTAGGTAGCCACGCTCACGCAACTATTAAGTTAAAGAAATTCACATCCGTCGCCAACGCAGGCAGATCACGGCGGTTTTATGGCTGATGCTCGAGCACGACCACCAAACCCCGCAACTGGCGAAGTAGGAACCTCGAGTATTCACAATATGGCCTTGGGCTCGAGATTGGTCGCCATGGATTTCGACGAAATTGCCCGGATCATTCAAGAAGGAATTACAACTGGCCTGCAACGGAATGCTAGGGGGCCAACGGGTTTCACCCCTAACACTCCATTCACACCAGAGATATTGTCATATCCCTTGCCCGACAGATTCAAATATCCCTGCATTAAAGAGTATGATGGGACGTCCGACCCCATCAACCATCTCAATGTATATACTGATGTCATGAACTTGCAAGTTGCGTCGGATCAGGTTATGTGCAAAGCCTTTCCACAAACGCTGACTAATGCTGCTAGGGATTGGTTCTCGACATTGGAGCCCAACTCCATAGCCTCATTCTCATATTTGGCTGATAAGTTCTCAGCTTTCTTTGCGAGTAGCAATCGAATCAGGAAGATTGCAGCCTCCTTCATGCAACTACGCAAGGGGCCGAATGAAACCCTACGAGATTTTATGACAAGATTTAACAAGGAAAGACTTCATATACCCGACCTCCCTATTACAGTAGCAGTTTCTGCCCTCACCTATGCCATAAGGTGTGAGGCCTTCAAAATATCTTTATCAAAAACCCCACCACTGATAGTGACCGAGCTCCTTAATCGAGCTGAAAAGTACATCAATATGGAGGAGACGTTGAATCCAAAGAGAGCTGGTCCTCCTCATAAAAAGGTCGAAAACAAGAGGCAGCATGATCCCATTCCCCGACATGAGCATCCTCGGGAAAAGTACAGAAATGAGGTGCCCTCAGTACCTCTAACTCGATTGAACACCTCTAAGATAAACATCTTAATGGCGATTAAGGATATGAAAGAATTAAAGTGGCCTTCAAGGATAAAGTCGCCCCCTGACACAAGAGATAGGAGCAAGTATTGTGAATTTCATTGGGATCATGGGCACACCACAGAGGATTGTCAAGCTTTGCAGCGGGAGATCGAGGCTCTCATTAAAAGAGGATTCTTAAGGAATTACATTGGTCATGATAAACGCCCGAGGAATGATCATGACAATCGGAAAGAGCCTGGAATCGGAAGCAGTGCTCAACCCACTGCCGGGACAATTAATATTATCGTCAGGGGCATAGCATCTGGAGGAGACACAAATAGTGGGCGAAAGCAGTATGCTCGCCAACATGCTCATACCCTAAGGAAATCCCGTGATGAAGTCAAAGACATCACTTTTGGAGCAAGAGATTTGGAAGGACTATCATATCCTCATGACGATGTCTTGGTTGTCTCTGCGGTTATGGCTAACTTCGAAGTAAAGAGGACCTTGGTTGATAACGGGAGTGCAGCAAATATACTCTCGCAGGAGGCTTTCGCCAAAATGGGGATCTCTTCCAAACAACTCAAAGCAATAAAAACTCCTCTACAGGGATTTGGTGGTGGAGTCATTATCCCTAAGGGCATCGTCGAGCTCCCGCTTACATTAAGATCTGGCAATACACAAGTGACGGAGATCACGCCATTCCAAGTGGTTAATACCCCAATGGCCTACAACATCATTCTGGGAAGACCCCTACTGAACAAGATCCAGGATATTGTATCAAATTTCCACCTTGCCATGAAGTTTCCCACAGGTCATGGCATCGGAGTAGTTAGAGGAAACCAAACGGCTGCCAGACAGTGCTATGTTACTAGCATCCGAGGAATGAATACAGACGTCATACAACTTTCAGACCTCGAGCTCGAACTAAGGGGCAGATTGGCCCCCGTTGAGAAATTGGAAGTGGTCGAGCTCGAGCACGGGAAAGCCGTCACTATTGGTCGAGATCTCCATGCCAACCTCCGGGAGGAAGTCATCGATCGTCTGACCCGCAACATTGATGTTTTTGCATGGAAGATGGAGGATATGCCGGGGATAGACCTAGAATTAGCTGTCCATAAACTCAATATCAGCCCAGGGGCCAAACCTGTTAAGCAAAGGAAGAGACAGTTTGCGCCGGAAAGACGTGTGGTCATTCAGGAAGAAGTCGTCAAATTGGTGAGAGCGGGGTTCATAAGGGAAGTCCAATACCCCAATTGTCTCGCTAATGTTGTTCTTGTGAAAAAGGCCAGTAGTAAATGGAGGGTCTGCATTGACTTCACAGATCTTAATAAGGCGTGCCCGAAAGACAGCTACCCGCTACCCAGGATTGACAATCTTGTGGATAGTACATCTGAACATAAGCTGTACAACTTCTTAGATGCATTCTCAGGGTATCATCAAATCCTCATGGCCGAAGAAGACCAAGAGAAGACGTCATTCATGGCCGATTCAGCCATATATTGCTATAGGGTGATGCCATTTGGGTTGAGAAATGCTGGGGCAACATATCAGAGGCTCATCGACAAAATCTTCACCAACTTGATAGGAAAGAACATCGAGGCCTATGTGGATGACATGGTTGTAAAGAGCAAGAAGGTAGAGCAACACATATCCGACCTTGAGGAGGTGTTCGTCACCCTACGAAAATATAAGATGAAGCTCAACCCAGAGAAGTGCGTTTTCGGCGTAGCTTCGGGAAAGTTTCTAGGTTTCATGATCACTCATCGGAGGATTGAGGCCAACCCCGATAAGATTCAGTCTTTGGCAGCAATGGAAGCCTCAAGGACCAAGAAAGAAGTTCAAAAGTTGACAGGCAGGGTAGCCGCCTTAAACAAGTTCATGTCCCAAGCAGTAGACAGGTGATTCTCCTTCTTCAAAGCCCTCAAGGGAAATCATTGCTTTGAATGGAATGAGGAGTGCGAGAAGGCTTTTCAGGAGCTCAAACAAACATTGGAATCTCTTCCTATCCTCACCAAACCCGACCCCGGGGATACTTTGTATTTGTATTTAGCCGTGTCTCAGAATGCGATAAGTGGTATCTTGGTGAAAGAGGTTAACAGGGCCTAGCAACCCATTTATTACGTAAGCAAAGTCCTACTTGATGTAGAAACAAGATACACTTTGGCAGAACAACTTGCCCTTGTGTTGATAGTGGCAGCATGAAAGGTTCGCCAATATTTTCAGTCACATCCTATTGTAGTGCTCACCAATCAACCTCTAAAACACATTCTTTAGAAACCAGAAGTCTCAGAAATATTACTAAAGTGGGCAATTGAACTTGAAGAATTTGACATAGAGTTCAAGCCTCAACCATCTATCAAAGCTCAGGCCTTAGCTGATTTCATTGCAAAACTCACTCCAAGGCCTCGGGGGCCAGATGGTAGCTTGAGCTCTTCCACAGAAATTTGGTAAATTTTCATAGATGGAGCATCAAATTCCTCGGGCTCGGGTGCTGGGGTCATAATCATAAGCCCGGACACGCTCATGACATTCAGTGTGCATTCAGGTTCGAATTTGAGGCAACCAATAATGAAGCAGAGTATGAGGCCGTCATCATAGCCATGGAACTTGACTAGTTGGTGGTTGGGTAAATTGATGGGACG